GGTAGGACAGGGATAAAGTTAAATAGAATGGTATATATGAAACAGCGTCATTTATGTAAATTAAAACCGCAAGCGCTTGCACCAAAAATATATGCCACAAACACGTTTAGAAGGAAAGAGATGACCTTTCTTAGAAATTTCCTATGGGGGTGGAGGAAGGGACATGAGCTTGAGAAAAGTGTATTATTATAAGGAAATCTATAAGCAAACAAAAGAAAAGCGGGCCCTGCCCACATCAGTGTTTGTGATTTAGGAGTAACATCCACTGAATTCCTTGAATGTGAAAGAAGGGACAATCACAGACACAGAAAGATTAAAATGACCAGACCTTACACCGCCTTCTACGTACAGAGCGCTTACATTTTAGAGCGTGGATAATAATTTTTTTAAGTTGATCATTTCACTGTTGGAATCTGGGTAAAAGTAACGGGGTACCTTCCGTAGTCAAGGATCTGAAAAACACCGCTCTGTCAGGAGTGGGATTCGAACCCACGCCTCCAGGGGAGACTGCGACCTGAACGCAGCGCCTTAGACCGCTCGGCCATCCTGACTCGGCGAGCACCGCTCTTGCCGCGAGTGTATTTCTGGGTTACCCGAGACGCCAAGCCGTTCCCGGCTCAGGACGCCTCGGGAGCAGGAGGGACACCGCGCCCCCGGGGCCGCGGCCCAGCGACTCCGGCGGCCGCGCGCACCAGCTCCGGGCTCCGGGCGCGGCCGAGTGGCCCCTGCCGTGCGACCGCGGCTGCCAGGCCCCCGGGAGGGGCGGGGCGGGGGTGCGCGGGGAGAAGGGCGCCCTCCCTCCACGGGGGCAGAGCCCTACTTCCCTGGCGGCACCGCGTGGCGGGAACGCGCGCTTTGTGCCGGGGGCTCGGGCTGTCGCGGGAGCGCGCAGGGCGGCAGCGCGCCCGCAGGTGCTCGCGAGCCCTCTCCCTCCTCCCAGCGGGTCGGGCCGCGGGACGCGGTGCGAGGAGCCGGCGGGCGGGGCTCTCCGTCCGCGTTCGGAGGACTGGCCGGCTTTCCGGTGCGGATGTTCTACTGCAGTGAACAGTCGTCTCTGGACCTAGTAAGCCTGGCGTGGCCTTGAAGCCAGGCCTCTACTGCCGCAACTTTTCCAAACACACCTCCCGTCGGATGTGACCTACCTCGTGGTTTCGTGCCCAGCGTTAGCGTCAGGATGCTGTGGTCGGGACATCACCGACTGGGAGTCAGGGAACCCGACCGTGAGCTTCAAACGAAGCTGGAGCTAGTCGGGGACCTGCCTGGAAGCGTGCGCACGAGTCAGGTCGCCTGTGTTGGCCCGAGGAACTGCTTTCCTAGATGCTTTACAGTTTCCTCTAAGTGCATTGGAAGAATGAACCCGGGCCTACAGAGCTTGAATTCTTTTTTTTTTTTTTTAATGTTTTATTTATTTCGAGGAGAGAGAGAGAGAGACAGCGTGAACAGGGGAGGGTCAGAGAGAGAGGGAGTCACAGACTGAAACAGCTCCAGGCTCTGAGCTGGCAGTCAGCACAGAGCCCGACGCGGGGCTCGAACCCACGAACCGTGAGATCATGACCTGAGCGAAAGTCGGACGCTTAACCGACTAAGCCACCCAGGCGCCCCCAGAGCTTGAATTCTTAAATGAAGCATCAAATCCCCATCCCCGGAGAACCAGTTAGACTCAAATTCTCAGTCTCCCCCGGACCTACCGAGTCAGACATCTGGGGGGACAGAGTCCAGGAATCCACATCTAACAAGCGCTCCACGGAGCCTGAGGGGCGCCCAGGTTTGGGAGTCATCGGCCGGAAGCTCAATAGCCCTGTAATTCCTAACAGAGAAACTGGTCCGGCATTAGCAGGTGACAGGGGGGAGCAGGTACTGCCAGCACTGTCCCCCCCTCAGTCTCACTGAATTAGAGTACCTGAGACTCGCACCTGGGGACTGTGTTCGTTAGGGTTTCCCCTCCCACCCGGGTGATTCTAGTGTGCACCCAAGTTTGAGGTCATTACTTTAGGATTTCGCTTTAGAGAAAGGCTGGATCTCTTCCGGGTGCGGTGGAGGGGCCACGTTCAGAAAACGTGTTCCGGCCTCTGTGGTACAGGGCTCTGGCCCCAAATAGTTGTGAAACATGGAGAGCAGTGGTCCAAGGCACACGTTTCGGTGGCTGCTCATAGGCTCATATGTGGCTCCACCTGTGTGGGATGCCTGCCCGGGAATCACTGGAGGTGGCCTGAGATGATTACAAGCAAAGGTGGGTTCCACCCCACCCCCCGCACCCGAAATGTCCAGCCTTTCCAGGAGATGAGGTGGAAACAATCCATAGAGCGCATTCAAATCCAGTGGTCGTATGGGAGGAGGTTGCGCGTGAGCATTTTGGGAAGACAAACAGATCTCTCCAGGAAGAAGATAAAGTTTCCGGGTTCCAGAGTCCACAACACCCAGTGTCCTCTCTTGTAGGAGATTCAGAAATAAAGCCGGACTGATCATTTCCTCCAGGCCCGGCTAGCTGGTGCCAAGTGGAAAAAGAGCCTCAGGCTCATCAGAGAAGTTCTTCCTCAAGGGTGCCTCATGCAAAGCGGGGGTGGGGGGGAAGGACACAGATGTTTCCTAAGAATATACTGTCAGGTTTGTACCGTGGCTCGTGACCCCTTTTCCTCAAGTGGTCAAGGAAGTCACGGATCGTGGCGAGGTCAAGAGTCATGGAGGAAGGGGAGGGGAGTCAGAGAGCTGATTAAAATCTACGGCTGTCTTTCCTTCTAGTCTCAGAGAAGGGTTCTTGGCGCAGCCCCATCTGTTCTGGATACATTTCAAGATACACATTATACATTAAACCAGCAAAGCAACTGCCTGAGGTTCCCAAAAGTTTTAAAGAACTTTGGACTTTTTCTTTGACGTTCTGAAAATCTAATTTGAACAAAAACTGACGCTTAAGTAGTGATATATGATGTTTTTCTTCCCGGGTATAGTGTGGGGTGGCTGGCCTGGGGGGACAGTGTGGGGTGAGAGGTGTTTGAGGAAGGGTCGTGGGAAGGCGGAACTGGTTCTCCGGGGATGGGGATTTGATGATGGAGGAAGGGGCCCTTTCTGTCTGGTGGTCCAGGTGCCGGCCCTCGGTCCAGGTATAATGTGGCACGCTTACTTTTGTCTTCTCCAACCCTCTTCATGCCTAAGAGTGTCCTGAGCCAACGGGCCCCACCTTGATAATTTCTCGAAGCCTCTAGCCCTCCCACTCAGTTCAGTGGAAGGTGTCCTGGACAGATGGCAAGGACACCCCCATCAGGTCCTGGCTTAGCACAGACTATATGCTTTAATCAAATCACTTTATGTCTCTTGGCTTCACATTCTCATCTCTGAAAAGAGACAGAGGGAGTAAATGTTGACAGTCACTTCTCATCCATTACATTTTCTTCTTGATCCCTTTCGCAAATAACACCTGTGTGGGCTCCTGATTTACAAGCCTTTATGCAGAATGATTTTTTTAATTTTTTAAATGTTTATTTATTTATTTATTTATTTATTTATTTATTTATTTATTTTGAGAGAGAGAGAGAGCATGACCTGGGGAGGTGCAGAGAGAGGGGGGACAGAGGATCTGAAGTGGGCTCTGTACTAATAGCAGAGAGTCCGATGTGGGGCTCGAACTCACGAACCGCGAGATCATGACCTGAGCCAAAGTTGGACGCATAACCGACTGAGACACTCAGGCGCCCCTATGGGAATGATTTTAAAATAATGCAGTAATTCATATGTGGAAATGTCATTATCTAGATATTGTTATGTACGTCTTGAACCCCAAATCCGTAGGAAGACACTGAAACCAAAATCATAACCAAAACCAAAATGGAAATGGGGCCCAGGAGGTGACAAGAACGAAGATGAGTACCAGAGCGTTGCTGACAATGCCACCTGTCACAATACACAGTGGATGTGACAATAAGAGACCTACCTGTCTGGTGTTCAGAATTCTCACCTGAGAGAGAATGTTGGGTTTTAATTTGTTACGATCCTCTGTAAGGGTAGTCAGTAGACTGAAAACTTAAGAGAAGTTGGGTTTTAGCTTAATCATGAGAAATATATGTGGTGCAACGATGGAAATATGTTAGTGTGCATGTCATTTGGAATTTGGATTTCTGGCTGTTTGATCTATAATGGGTCTGATTTTGATGATTTCTCAGCAGAAGACACACATATTAGGTGATCTTCCCACCATTTGGTGACTCTGGAGACTCACATTCAGAGCTGGTTGAATTGCATTAAGGTCATCTGTGAAGGAGACCATTTCCGACCCTTGCTTGGGGCAACCTACGGGAAAGTGTTCGTGTCACTGAACCGCAAATGTCTTCAAGTAGGAATCCACAGGGCTTCTCCTCTGGGGGAGCGGCTTCTCTTCTTTTTAAAAATTGTTTATTTATTTTTGAGAGACAGAGAGCAAGTCAGGAAGGGGCAGAGAGAGAGGCAGACAGAATCCCAAGGAGGGTCTATGCTGCCAGCGCAGATCCCGACGTGGGGCTCGAACTCACAAACCACGAGAGCATGCCCTGAGCCAAAATCAACAGTTGGATGCTTAACCAATTGAGCCCCCCAGGTGCCCTGGAAAAAGGTTTCTAAAGATCACCTGAGGTTTTTGTTTTTATTTTTCCAATTACTAGGCATTACAATTAAACATTTCCCAAATATTTCCTCCTCCTGGAAAAGTACTGTTAAAATGTGAACAGGTGGCTTCACTCACCTACACCAGGGGCCAATTCCTTCTTTAGTAGTAGATACAGGGTCACCACGCAAATAGAGGCTGAGGGTGGGCAGCCACTGGCACCCTGGCCTTTCGGTAAGTAGCTAGACCCTCAGGGGACAATAGCCCAGTGCCCACCTGCCCCGGGGAGCCCACTGCCGTCAGGCCTGCAGATGAGCCCTGGATGCACAGAGCCGCGCCGCTTCGGCCAGCCAGCCACACCCCCGTGCAGTTTCGTTCCTGTTTCTCAGTTCCGCTTGTTGGGATAAAGAAAGGAAGGTGCAGATGCTGCTTTTAGCAATCAACAAACTTCTTTATTAGGTCAAGACCATAGGCGACATCTATGCTGGAAACGGGAAAAACACAAGTAGAAGGGGTGAACCCAGATAAATCTGCAGTCCGTTGGTATGACAAGCCACAAGCGTACGGGAAAATGCAAACACAAGCAGGTTCAGTCAGTCTAGCTGAGCTGAGCACGACTCAGCACATGGGGGCCCTGGGGAAACGGCGCGCGCAGCAAGCTCGGCGGGGAGGGAGGATGCGCTGCTTGGGGCGCTGCCTGAGGGCACGTTCAGGGGGTTAAGCCAGATGTTGGGATGAGGGGCCCTGAGGCTGACACGGGCTGGTACAGAGGTGACGTCACTGACCAGGGTTTCTGGAAAGGCTCTTGAGATGGAGAGATTCTACATCAAAAGGAAGAAGACAGCTGCAAAGTTTTGGGGTCCACAAAGTGAGGCTGGAATGACCCCAGAGGGGGGGGAAAAAGAGGCTGCTGAGAGGAAAGGAGCTGAGTCATGGCTTCGCACACAGCTCCGGTTTTGTCTCATGTTCTCTCCTGGATCAAATCTTCGGTCTGGCCCCCAGCCCTGCTCATGTCATCCCTCTCCACGCGCCCATGCCATGTGCTCAGATCCCACAGGAGTAGGGCCAGTTTCCTCTACTCTGTAGGCCATGTCTTAGAAAATCTGAGAGATAGGCCCTAAAACTCGGGGGGCAGACCGGGTATTCATCATTGGCCTAGGTTCCCCTTACTTTCCTCCATTGCGATATCCCCCCAACTTCCTTTATGGGACTTCAGCCTCGACTTTTCCCTTCCCAGAACCTTATGGGTTTCCCGCTTGTCTAAAACCTGTCCCTCTACTCATCCCTATTCTGGACACGGAGATGTTTCTCTCACAACCACAAGCCAACCTAACCCCATCTTGATGGCTGAGCTGTCCCGCCTATAGGATTTGGCCTGGGGCGGGGACGAGGTTGGAGAACACTACAAACAGCTTCGGAGTCCTCTCCTTGCCCACCCCTCCCCCCACCCCGAGTCTCTGTACAGAAACAGATTAGGAAGGCCCTACACCCCACACTCTCTAGCAGCACCAACACAACCTTCCCAAGACCAACCCATCCCTACCCAACAGGAAGAAACAGGTTGGGTGAGGCCGGCAGCTGGCGACTCAGAGGGGACAGAGCCGAGGGCTTAGCATAAAGGACAGCAGTTTAGCCGGGCTATTCCCTACAGTGCCCCGTGGCTGGGCTGGGTAGGGATCAGCTTAGAGTGGAGGGTACCTGCATCCCCAGAGGCAGGGTCCTCACCCATGGCGGACAGTGGGATCTCCTTAGCGAAGTCCTTGGCATCAACAACTACTGTGACTTTGTCAGGCCTATCAGCGCTTGCGCAGATGGTCAGGGGCTTCTTACCACAAGACCACAGGCAGAAGAAAGGCCGAAGGGGGCCAGAGAAGGAGGCGTCGGAGAAAGTATAGATATGGGCGCCACTGGCCATATTGTAGAAGGAGACGTCCCCTGATTCATAGTCCAGGAAAATCCCCACCCGCTGGGGGGGTCCTGCCAATGGGAGAGGGGTCCGCTGTGGGGTGAGGGCCCAGTACCCGTTCCCATACAACTCCACAGCCCAGAACCCGTTCTCAGGAGTCATGGGGTCAAATCCTTTCTTCACCACATTCTCCCTACACACGCCGACCGCCCAGTCGGCCCTGTCCCCCACCTTCACCTCCCAGAAATGTCGCCCTGATGTGAAGGTCTCACGACCCAACACACAAGGCCAGGAGTCAAATCTCTCTGGTTTCTCGGGCAGTTGCTGGCGTGAATCTTCCAGTCGGACAGATTTTGAATCCTCAAACAAAAAGAGGTGGGGGTGGGCGGTGTCTGGATCCAGAGTCACGTCAACTACAGACAGAAAGAGAGCAAGTCTGAGCATCAGCGAGCGTTAGAGGGGACAAGACATAGTCTTTCTTCTCAAAAAAAAAAAAAATATATATATATATATTTTATAATAAAAAATAATATATGATAATATATAATAAAAAATATATATTTTAAAAATAAATATATATTTATAAAAATATATATATATATAGACTGTTCTAGACTTTGGCAGGTCTCCTCAGGAGGAGAGCCGTTTGGCTTGTTTTGCTGTCTCTATTTTCCTCTTCTGTGAACAGCCGCAGGGTGATGTGTGAGCTGACTGTCCCCAGGGCCTGAGGGGTGCCTGTCAGAGGGGCCTGTCTTTGAAACATCTTCCAAGGGCCCTCTCTGTGCCTCAAGGAAAATGTGGAACCCGTTTACACCACCCTTCCCCTATTTCTCCTCACCACGAAACCGTGTGAGTGTTTTTGCTCTCCAAGCGTTACGGGACCTCAAATCCCTGGGCGATAGAGCCTCAGAGCCCTTGAGAAGTTCAGTGAGTGACTCACCTGCATGCAAGGTGGCCTTTTTCCATTCTGCAATGAAAGAGAGGGAGGAGGTCATGGGCGGGTTTTCTTATAAGAGAGAGAACACCTTGTGGGTGAGCTAACAAGGAAAGAGAACTTACTGAGCTCATCTAGGAGTTTCTCTGGAAAACAAACAGAAACACCTTAATGACCTTCCAGAAATTCCTTAATGACAAGAGTAAATGGCTCATCTCTGACTACTTAACTACTGAAGCTTTATCAATAAGTGAGGAACAAGGATTTTGTTTTGTTTTGTTTTTCCTAAGAAATGTGCAAGACATTCCTACCGGCTCGGGATGAGATCTTTAATCTTAACTGGGAAACCGAGTTAGAAGTGAGAAGAGAGTCTGAGGGTAGGTAATGAGTGAGCAACAGGTCTCCTATCTCAGGCAGCATTGGTTTTGACTCCTTCTGCACCCCAGACCTTCATATTGGGGATCAGCGGCTTCAGGTGCCTTACGACCCCCCCTCTTGACTTTTGGAATCCTGCACTCAAATATCTCCCCGTCCGCAGTCATCAGACAGGACTTGATCCATCCGCACTCGGGAGCAATCCTGACAAGCAGCCTCTGACTTACCTGTAGAGCTGAATTCATTTTCCCTCTGTCTGGATCTTTCCCGGTATAGTCTCCAGGTGCAAAATATGGACCCAATTGTGAGAAGTCCCAGGACCATCAAGATGACAGCCACTGCCACCATCCAGGGAGTCAGCCGTGGGAAGAAGGAAGCTGAAATGAAATCCCCAAGAGGGACATTGTGCAAGTCTAAGCAAGTCCGCCTCTGCTCCTGATTCCAGGGGGGCTGGAAGGGAAGAGGACCTGGGCCTCCCCCATGGCTCCTCGGGCAAAAATGAGTCCTTCCAACGCTGCTCTAAGCTTTTCAGAAAAATGTGGATCTCAGGTAGGAGAGGGCAATGAAAGAAAGAAATGAAGATGGACAGGAGTCATTTCGGGACAGGACCTGGGAAGTAAAGAAAATAATGGACCAGGGGCACCTGGGTGGCTTAGTCGATTAAGCGTCCGACTTTCGCTTAGGTCATGATCTCGCGGTTCGTGGGTTTGAGCCCCGCGTCGGGCTCTGTGTGACTGCCGGCTCAGAGCCTGGAGCCTATTTCAGAGTCTGTATCTCCCTCTCTCTCTGACCCTCCCCTGCTCACGCTCTCTCTCTCTCTCACCTAGAAATAAATAAAAAAGAAAAAGAAAAAGAAAAAGAGACAAAGAAAAAGAAAAAGAAAATAATGGACCAATGCATGTTACTGCGGAAATTCTTTCTTAGCTATCAATGCAGGATGGGAGCCAAGGGGATGAAGGAATAACTGAGGGAGGGGCAATGTCACCTCCGAGTGCAAGAGAAAGGGACTCAGTGACCAAAGAATAAAGAAAGGTTCCTGCCTGAGCCAGAGATGGTCTGGGGGGAGTAATGAGATTTGCTTTCCTGAGGACCCTGGAAACCTAGACGGAGCTCTAGCATGGGATGGGGGAGACCGAGGGGCAAGGGTGGAAATGGGTCTCCCTGTTACTCAAGGAGAGAAGGCTCTGAATTAGGAAGCCCCCAGGGACAAAGCTTCTGTATCTCCGACATGTCTGCTAAAATGGAAAACCTGGGATTTCTGTGAGATCTAGGGAGGGTTTATGTGTTCAGAATCCTTCTTCTTTTAATGGGATAAGTGGGGTTCCCTCACGTCGGTGGCCAGGGGGGTAGGTGGGGAAAGTAGACAGCTGTGTCATGAGGGCATGGCTGGGGCAGCTGTCCCAGATGATACTGCCCTAAACCTGTGTCACCTAGGAACCCAACGCTGATCTCACGGACCTGGTATGGACATCTCTACTTCCTTCTCCTGGCCCAGAAGGAGGTTCCGGAAGTGGCAGGATATATTCTTCATGGAAGTGTCCCGGATGATCACAGAAGCTGCCACAGAGAACAGGCCTTCTTCATCAGGATTCTTAGACTCTGACATGGATGGAAACTTCTCCCCCTCGGAAGTTCTCCACTGCACCTGGGGCTCTGGGTACCATCCTACTGAGGTACACTCCAGCCGGATCGCTCCACTTTCTTGAACTTCCATACGGATTTGAGGATCAGAGCCCACAGCTATGGAGAGACAAGGTGGCCTTACTCCGTGGTCACCCTTCTGGGAGCCTCACAACCACAGGGTTACACAGTCTGAGACACAGAAGCACATGGAGACTAGGAATGAGAGGGCTTCATGCTCTGTCTCTGTCTCGTTACACAAGGAAACTGAGGCACCAGTAAAGGGAACCTTATCAGACAAGGAACCTTATCAGAGAGGGATGCCATAATGGGATTTAGTGTCTGAAATGTAGGCAGGAGTTTAATGGACACACATAGGAAGCTTTTCCAGTCAGCAGGGACAGCAAGACCAATGGCTTAGAGGCAGGCTAGGGAGCTCCAGAGAAGGGAGAGGGCTTTGTGATCGGAAGTATTATGAAAAGACTTTGAGGAGGAGAACCAGGAGTGGGTATTTCAGGATGAACAGAGAAGGGGTGTCCTTGAGGAGAAGGGGGATTGGAGGTTCGCTGCATTGAGACTGTAGCTGACAATTTAAGTTTCCTTTCCCCGTGATACTGACTCGGGAATTTTCTTAAATGGTTTCAACCTCATCGCCTCTCCCCCACCCCAGTTATGTCCTAACATATATCAAAATAAAGCTGCATTTATCTTTTCTGTTTCCAGCCTAAGTATTTTCTAACAATGCTACAGAGTAAAGAAAAACACCAAGCTGCAGAGGAGAGCCCTTAAACACGTGTCCACAGCTATTAGTTTAAATCCACGTTTCAGTTTGTATGTGTGAAAATGCATATTCTTTTCATGAAAAGGGCTGCACTTTCAGCAGATTCTCCAAGATGTCCATCACTTTGAAAAGGTAACAATAACCGTTTCCTGCTCTCAGATCTTTAGGGTTTTATAATAATCAACCTTTAAGATAACTTCCCGACAAAGGAGATGTGAGTTCTACACCATGCTGCCGCATGCAGCCTGTCCTGAGGCGGGGGCCACCCAAATTACACCCAAGTATTTTTTAAATTGTATTTTAATAAATACACAAAAGGCAACACATCTGCATATTACACATTATACGGGGCAGTCTGAGGCACAGTAATAGTATCTCACCAGTATATAATGCTTGTCGAATTGACAAAACACTTTCTTACATATTGTCTATTTTTATTTCATTCTTGCAAAATCTTGTCTGAAAGATGCACGCCCAGTTTTATAGCAGGAGCTTAAGGCTCAGAAAGGAATTACTCTGATGCCATTCACTAGTAAGTGGGCAAGACAGACCTCAATGCATACTTTCCTCCGGAATGCTTACCGTTTTCCTTAATGTGTCGCCCTGAAATCTGGCTTGAAGAAAAAAAAAAAAAAAGGAACCAAACCCCAAAAACCTTTCTAGGTGGATGAGGAACGCCAGCGAGCAGCCACCGCCTAGGATGGTGGGAGCCGGTCCTCAGGCCCCGACCCACGCGGCGGCCTCGAGGGACGCGGCGGACGGCGCCGCCCGGCCTCCCCGCGGCGGTGGTGAGGGACACACCACTTACGTGCGCGGTCCCGGGACCGGACCGAGTATATGCTGGTGGCGCTCCCGGAAGAGAATGTCGTACAGCCCCGCTGCCAGCAACGTGGGGAAACCCGACGACGCCCTTCCCGCCGCCCCCCCGCCCCCGGCCCGCCAGCCTCTCCGCCCGAGACGGGATTCGTTCGGGCCGTGAACGTGGGGGCCTCGAAAGTACGGGAGCCGCAGGGGGACAGACGCCGCCGGCAGTCCCCGGGGGCGGGCCCGCGCACTCACCCGCCACCTTCAGGTGCACGCTGGCCTCCCCGTAGCGTCCGTCCTGCCGGAAGAGGCAGCGGTACTCGCCGTCGTCCGACGCCCGGACCCGGTGCAGGCGCACGGCGGCGCGCCCGGCCGCGAGGCCGCCGTCCAGCAGCGTGGCCCTGCCGCGGAACTCGGCCGCCTGCTCGGCGTCGCGCGCGCGCCCGTCCCGGCGCACCAGCACGGCGGCCGCCCGCCGCCCGCGGTACCAGCGCAGCTCCATGCGCTCGGCGCTCGCGCTCGCCGACAGGCTGCAGGGCAGCTCGGCGTCGCCGCCCAGCGCCGCCACGACGGGCTCCGCGGGGCCGACCACGTCCAGGGGGGCTGCGGACACCGGGCGGGGGGGGGCTGAGGACCCGCGCGGACGGAGGGAGGTCCGCCCCACCCGGCCCCTGGCCGAGGTCGCCGGGGGAGCCTCAAGGGGCCAGAGGGGGAGCCCCAGGGGGACCTACCCGAATCCGGCCGGGACAGCCGGACCAGAGTGAGGACCAGCAGGCACGCGGGGAGGCAGGAGTTCGGGAAAGCTGCCATGTCCAGGCTTCCTGGGCCGCAGGTCGCCGGCGTCCTGCGGGCGACGCAGGCCGGGAGCCGATCTTTCGACGCCGTCCTCCCGCGGGGTCGCGAGGCGTCCCCCCCCCCCCCCCCGGCCCCGCGCGGACTCCCGGCCCGTGCGCACACCGCCCCGGGTGGCCAGGCAGGTGCACAGCCGCAGAATAGACCCGAAAACCCCGAAAGAATCCCAGAAGGGAGGCATAACATAGCATAGTACCCATTCGTGGGCTGCGTATCAACGAACCGCTGCTCCAAAAAGCTCCCCCCCTCTCTTTTTTTTTTCCCCAAATATAGTAATTTGGTATTTGTTTCCAGCAATGATAATGAAGATGAAGCGACGCAGGCAGAGATGGAAACCAGGGGATTGAACTGGAGGAGTAAGAGGAAAGATGGGCGAGAGGAGGGGAGCTGGAGAGAGCAAAGGGTAGGCGGTAGAGGGCCCAGGACCGGGGAGGAAGGAGCCAGAGGGAGACAAGGTGCCCTCCAGGCTGCTGGCGCCCTCGGGAGGGACCAGGGCGGTCACAGGCACTGACCTCTGATCTGGAAGGAAGAGGCACCAACGAGCCTCGCTACCAAGTGGCAAAGCCCGTTGTGGCCTCAGGGGCAAAAGTTAAAGGCAGGGAAGAAGGAAGCGGGAAATAATCTCAGGAAGGCCTGCCCCCAGCTCCCAGATGCCTTGACTTTGGGAGAAAAAGTTTTCCAGATGGATGAAGGGTCTGTGCCTTTGCAGGCTTCAGCTCAAAGACCAGGATATTCAAGGACAAGCTGGACTAAATACAAGGGGATCGGGTGAAAAAGGAGGGTCAAGACAACTGAATGAGAGGGCAGGCGTTAGGCCGGATAATTTCCCTCTTCAAGTCTAACGTCTTTTATCCTTAAATTGGGGTGGAGGGGGGCACTGGGAGCATTAAATGATATTAAGCCTGTTGAGTGCTTAGCGCATGGTTAGGATTTAGAAGAAGGTAAATTGTTATTCTGTGGTTTATGTGGGTTGAAAGTTTAAAGGTAGTCTGGCTGCAAGAGTGTGACTAGTTTGCACGGCCTCCCAGATGCCTCCCTGCAACCAATTCAGCCTTATTTTGGGTTAAACCTCTTATTGTTATGAAAAGAAGGGAAAAATACAGGAAAACATTTTTTTAGTTATTTTTTAAAAGACTTTATTTTTTTAATGTTTTATTTATTTCTAGGAGAAATAGAGAGACAGCGTTAGCAGGGGAGGGTCAGAGAGAGAGGGAGTGACAGACTCCGAAACAGGCTCCAGGCTCTGAGCTGGCAGTCAGCACAGAGCCCGATGCGGGGCTCGAACCCACGAACCGCGAGATCATGACCTAAGCGAAAGTCGGACGCTTAACCGACTAAGCCACCCAGGCGCCCCTAAAAGATTTTATTCTTAAGTAATCTCTACACCCAATGTGGGACTCAAACTCACAACCCCAAGATCAAGGCTCTCATGCTCCACCAACCGAGCCAGCCAGGGGTCCCTGGAACACACTTTTACAAAGTAGGTCATTTATTATGTCACCAACCAATGACCGCCTCTGTTCACAATCTGGCAGAATTGAGGAAGCTTTTGCATAATCAGAAACATTGTTTATACTTACATAATATCATTGTAGATTCCTATAATTCCCAAAACTGTGGGGCATCTTAGTGTTTTGTTTTGTTTTACCTATTATAACTAGTGCACTTTATACATAAATCTTTGTCCACATCTTTGATAACTTCCTGACGAACTTCCTGATGAATTCCCAGAAAGACAGTCATCAGGTCTAGAAGCTCAATTATGAGCATACTGCCAAAGTTCCTTTCTGAAGTGTTAAACCAGTCACTGCTAATGGAAACGTGCCTCTCACCTAACTCCTTCCAACACGGAGAGCAATTATTCCCTAATCACCAATGGGATGGGTGAAATGGATCAAATCATTATTTTACTAGGCGTTTATAGGACAGCAAGGCTGATCACTTTTCCTGTTAGCTATTTAATATATTCTGGAAGTGATCTTTCCAGGCAAATTGCCCATTCCCCCCTCCCCCAACATTCTGCTGCTGTTTCCTTATTCTGTATGAATTTTTTATAAATTCAAGATGTCAACCCTGTATTTGTAGCGCATATCCTTCACCACTGCAGTCTGTACTTTACCTTTGTTTGAGATTATGATTAATATCAACAAGAGGGGCACCCGGCTGGCTCAGTGAGTTGAGCCTCTGACTTTGGTTGAGGTCGTGATCTCAGAGTTCAGAGTCTGAGCCCCACATCGAGCTCACTGCTGTCAATGCACTTCCAATCCTCTGTCCCTGTCTCTCTGCCCCCCCCCTGCTCATGCTCTCTCTCAAAAATAAACATTAAAAAAAAAAGACCAAAAAAACATAACTGCTCCAGTTGACTGCTAGAATGATTTTTACCAAATGGAAATTTGATCGTGTCACTTTTTGCTTTAAAACCCCTACATATCTCCTTAGTGGCCCCAGCACCAAATTCAGACACTTGATCTGGTCAAGAAAATATAGGATCTGGCTCTTTCCCTGCTTCCTTCCTCTCGGCCTCTCTGCCTCCCCTCCGATGGCCAACCCGCCTCTCGGCAGAATTTGGAAGATGTGGTAGCCTCAGCCCACAGCACCTTCCCAGGCCTCCAGACCCCAGTGCCGGCCTCCTCTCCTCCTCCAGACCCCAGCCCCGCCCCGTCCTCCACCGGAGCCCGGCGCTGGCCTCCTCTCTCCCTGGAGCAACTCCTTCCTCTATCTACAAACTCCTGCTCTTCCCTCAAAAGCTCATGTAAGGGCAACTTCTTCCAGAAGCAAACAGGTGCACCCTCTCTTCCAGAGCTTCTCCTTCGTTCCCTTGGCTGGAGCTTCTGGGGGTCCCACCGGAGGCCCCTAACCAGAGAGGCTTCAGGAAGAAGCTCCCAGCACTGCCCAACTCCAGTGAGAAACACTCTTAAAGTCTTGAGTCTTATCCATAAATTTAGAGTAAATCTCATCGTTTTACTTCATCATATATAAGATCTGTTTAAATAGGACTCTGGATAACGCAAAACCGAGTCTGCAGGACCCGGGCCAGGCTCTTCCCGTGACACAGAGAGCTTGCTGGTCCCCTCTGCTGGCACACACCTGGCCTGAGTCCTACTTTGAGAGGCACATGTGTTCACTGTTGTGTTTTGTTTCCAAGTCTATCTTCCTCTCCTACACTGAGCTCTCCAAGTTCTTACTCCCTGACTTCTCATCAGCATAAAAGCCAAAATAGAGTCGGCAGCTGCAGTCACACTAACTGGTCCTTGGCCTTCCTAGTCTGAAAGGCTCCTATCTCATTCTCAACTCCCCTGTGTGTCTACCTTCTGAAAATATCATCCATAATGGGTTTCCTCTCCTCAACTTCCCCGGGTAGACTCCTGACCCCTGCTCTACACTGTCCAAAAGATCTCACAGGGAATTTTGGGGGGTAAGCAAAAAAAAAAAAGGGGGGAGGAGAGAGAGAAAGAAAAAAGAGAACTTTTTCCTGCACCCAAGGGAGCTACAAGGAACAAGAAAGAGGCCAGGGAAATAAATAGAAAGCAATGGTATTTAGAAGCCAAGCTACGTGGCAGCCACAGTTTTGATTGGGTAACATCTGAGTCATTTCTACATAAACTAACAGCCTTGGGTCATCAAAGGCAGGATCTCTGAGTCAAGGCTCTCTCAGGCTCGCACTGTTTGTGAGGTGTTGAACCGAGTGGGGCTGCTATGGGGAAGGTCTGGTTCCTCCCAGGGCCAGTGGAGACCCCGTCTGAGCTGAGGAATGTGGGTGCTCCATATGGAGCAAAAGGTCAGGACCTACCTCCTCTGCCCCTTTCCACCCCTGTTCAAATGTCCCAGTATTGCAGACTCGCCACATCCAGGGATTGCTCACATCTTTGTTCTAGGTGACCTTCATCAGCACTTGACTGAGGCAACCACTTGCCCCTTCTCTCTCTTTTAAAAAGTTTATTTGTGGGGCGCCTGGGCGGCTCAGACTGTGGAGCGTTCGGCTTTGGCTCTGGTCGTGATCTCATGGTTTGTGGGTTTGAGCCCCATGTCGGGCTCTGTGCTGACAGCTCAGAGCCTGGAGCCTGTTTCAGATTCTGTGTCTCCCTCTCTCTGACCCTCCCCTACTCACACTGTCTCTCTCTCTCTCTCTCTCTTTCTCTCTCAGAAATAAGTAAAACATTAAAAAAAGAGTTTATTTGTTGACTGATGCAAGTAATCTCTCCATCCAGCACGGGGTTCACACTCTCAACCCTGGGATCAAGAGTCGCGTGCTCTTCTGAGCCAGCCAGGGGCCCTGCTTTTTCTCTCTTTGAAATTAATTTATTTTTCATGTTTCAGAGATCCCATGACCATGGGATCACGAGGGGTGACCTGAGCCCAAATCGAGAATCAAGATGCTCAGGAGCTCTACTTCAATCCTTACCCTTCACATGAAGCTGCCGACTTCCCATGGATGATGGGGATGCCCCGGAGGGGGGCTCGGTCTCGGGGTCTTGGCCTTATTTCTTTTGCCAAATGGAGCCGAGACAGAGGACGAGGGGAGGGGGCATCAGGTGGAGTGCTGGATTTAGTGGCTTGTGAGTGAGCTTTGTGGTCACCTGCTTTCTCGGGACACACACTGCTAGCATGCTGGTAATAACCACATCATTAGATACGTCGACATTATTATTACTATTATTAAAATATGGAACACTTCATGAATTTGCGGGTCATCCTTGCGTGGGGGCCGTACTCATCTCCATATGGTTCCAATGTGTCAACATCACAAGGCCGACAGATGCCCCCATCTGCCCAGCCCGGGTTAAATTCAGGCGTGTCCTGCACCAAAGTGCCTACGTGCAGGGGCGGGGGGTAGAAAGCAGGCGCGGGGGCTTGGAGAAGATGCGGATGGATTTCTGCGCAGAGGAAGGGCCCGCGGAGGTGGAGGGGGTGAAGTGTGCCCTGGGGCGCAGGACACTGAGGGCTGGTTGAGTGGGGACATCTCTGAGTCATATTCCTGGAAATGCTTTTGAAATGGAGAGTTCCGGGAACAAAGACCAGGGGCAGACTGGGAACTTCCAGGGGACAAGCAAGGGAGGATGGGCGGAATCCCGGGAAGGGGTCAGGGTCGTGTGGACCAGTCCTGAGTTCTTGCCAGAATCTACCCCCGCAGCCTCTCTTCCTGTTACCTGGTAGGCAGAGCCCTCTAAAGCAGGCCCCCCTTCACCCTCTGGGGGAGGCTATAAAAACATGAAAATACAGAGTTTAGCTCCCTTCTGGGGTGAAGATCACAGAGAGTGTATGCAGGTGACTACTGAGAGGGTGAGACAGAGAGAGACCGACGGAGAAGAGACAAGAAGAGGGGGAAGGAAGGGGAAGGGGGGGCTGAGTCAGTGAACGTGGGAGATTCAGAAGGCATCTCCTTCTTCTCTGCAGGAATGAGACAACATGCTAGCAACTGTCACCTGTCCATGGGAAGACTTTTCTCAACCTGTTCCCCGGCCTCCGCTGCGCGCCCCCACCCCCACTTCTTCCTCACCAAGGGCTACAGATGAGCAGCATTCAGGGAAGGAGAGAGGAGTTAACTCATCTCACAACCACATTCTGAGAGGCCCGTGTGTCTCCTTAGGAGGAGGCAGAGGCAGTTTACACGGTCTCTTCTCTCCAGTCTCGTCACTGAGCTGCTGTCAGTGCTTTTCATTTTTGCGTCTCCTGGGGCTCGGAGCCCATAGTCGGTAGGGGCTCAGAGTCGCAGAGAAATGAAGAGCCACTGCTGTGCACACACTGTGCTTTCCCCTTCTGCGGTGACAGGGAGGCTTTGTGTTTTCTAAGTGATGCAAAGCCTTGTTGACGGAGCCATGAGGGAGAGCCCCAGAATTCTCCAAGCTCTTGTAGGGCTTTCTTTGGAAAATAAACAGAACTAGGGGCGTCTGGGTGGCTCAGTCAGCTAAGCGTCCGACTTCAGCTCAGGTCCTGATCTGGCAGTTTGTGGGTTCGAGCCCCACATCGGACTCTGTGCTGACAGCTCGGAGCCTGGAGCTTGCTTCAGATTCTGTGTCTCCCTCTCTCTCGCCCCTCCCCCTGTCGTGCTCTGTCTCTGGCTCTCAAAAAATAAATAGACATTAAAAAAAAGGGAAATGAACAGAACTAAAGCAATTCAGATGTGAGTTAAGAAGTGGGAAGGAGGAGGGAAGGTGCTTAGGAATCCCACAGTGCAGTGACTGTCCCCTTCCGTGACTACTTGATTACCGTAAAACTCTCACTACATCACGAACAAGGAATGCTTTTTGTGGCAGTTTACGTTCTTAGAAATCTGCAGGAAGTTCCTTTTGGCTGAACATGCTAAGAGAGGTTGCTGTACCTGGGAGCTTAAGTGGAAGTCAGGAGCCACGTTTGGGATGGGTGGGTAGGAGGGCCGGGGGCTGACAGGGGCACTGACCTGCCCGTGACCCCACCGGTGCCCAGCAGCCAAGGCGGACCTGGGGCCAAACCCTGCTAAATTCGATGGTACCTGTTACAGCAGCCCCCCCGTGGGGGGGCTGGGAGCTGGGGTGTCTCGGTGACAGGGGGCGGGAGGGATTTGTAGGATCTGTTTGTGGTGGGGGGTTGGGAGAGGGTCACAGAGGGAAGGGTTGCTCTGCGCGGACACCGGTGGAAGTCAGGGGGCTGCTGCAGGCCTGGGAATTCGGACTGTTACTAGGACGTGGAAGGTCGGAGCGGGCTGGAACTGTGACGGGCAGTTAGCCGAGAGGGGGATGCGTGGTCGTTTGTGGTTTGCACGTGGCCTTGCATTGTGTCTGCGCTCCGAACATGACTGCACAGGAGACTGGTCTCCCTGCAGCACGATCCCGGAGTGGCCTGTCCGTCCTTGCCAGCAGCTGTCATACCCGCTTCCCGCTCTCAGAGCCCACAGTCTCCTTCAGATCTAAAGGTATTCGGGATTTACTTACGTATTATTTAATGTATTTGGAGGTTTATAACCTTGAGAATCCCTTCCAATTTTATGTATTTACTCATCTGTTTTGAGAGTGAGTGAGAGAGCGCGGGCCGGCGAGCAGAGGAGGGGCGGAGAGGGACACAGAATCCCAGGCAGGCTCTGTGCATGGAGCCCAACGCAGGGCTTGAACCCATGAACCGTAAGAGCATGACCTGAGCCGAAATCATGAGTCCGACGCTTAACCTTAACCAACCGAGCTACCCAGGTGCCCCTCCCTTCTGATTAAAAAAAAAGTTATTTATTTATCTACCTATTTATCTACTTAGTAGATAGTAGTAACTGCTACACCGAACGTGGGACTCAAACTCCCAACCCCGAGAACAAGAGTCACGTGCTGAGCTACCCAGGGACCCCGAATCCCTTCTAATTTTGAAAAACCTAGAATCATAGTTCTAGATTCTTGACTGGGATGACTTTTGACTGGAAGTCATCTTAAAGGGTTAAGGGATCCACGCTCCGTTAAGGTGTAAAGGCCCTCAAGGCACAGACCCCCTCCGGAGCAGCGGATCTGGTGAAACACACAGGACTCACCGTCAGCGCTCCCCTCTGGGTGCCTGCCACCCCATTTCACTTCCAAAATAATAGTCCCCAAATGAGAATTCTCATGTGGGTGATGACCACTGAGAAAAGAATCAGTCTTCGATGTAAGGGAGGAAAAAAAAGTCCTAGACATTTTGATGTTGAAAATTAGGGGCGCCTGGGTGGCTCAGTCAGTTAAGTGCCCGATTTCGGCTCAGGTCATGATCTCACGGTTTGTGGGTTCGAGCCCCACGTCGGGCTCTGTGCTGACAGCTCAGAACCTGGAGCCTGTTTCAGATTCTGTGTCTCCTTCTCTCTCTGACCCTTCCCTGTTCGTGCTGTCTCTCTCTCTCTCTCAGAAATTAAAAATAAAAAAAACATAAAAAATTTTTGAAAAAGTAGCAGAATAGGCCACTCAAATTATGTCACTTTGTTACAGAAATTGTTTTGAGCTGAAGGCACTCTAGAAGGGGCCAACACAGAAGCAACGATTTCGGTAGAATTTTAGTCCTGAACACTATGGGGAAAATGCATTTCTAAGGAATTATCCATTATGTGTATTTAAACTCTGCCAGAAAAAAAAATAACTATTTTGTTTTAATCTTTTTGTATCGAGTAGGTTTTTGTATAAATTAAAGGTTTTTGAGTGGGGTGGGAGGGAGAAGCAGGCCACACAGGAAAAGCTCTTGACTTTCCCCGTTTTGCCTAAAGGCAAGATATAAATTCTCTTACTGGAGACTGACACTCACCAGCCCCGAGAGGAACGAGAAGAGTCTGCAAAGCTACCATTCCCCATTCCTTTCCTCCATATTAGCGCCTTCCCAGCTCTTGCCCTTGGGGCCTACAATGGTTTTCCTTTGTCCCATCATCTCTGCAAGTGTACTGTCCTTTGCTGAAGATGGAAATTAAGTTGGAATTCTGTCACCAATGTGAGTTACTCTTCATTAGGTTTGTCTCCTGTGATGTGCACTGCGTGCGTGAACTGTTTTCCTCTTGCTAATGTTTCCGTTAGAGTCCGAGGCGAAAACCTAAGATGAGAAGAGGTAAAGCTTTGCCTCCCCTGCGATGACACAGGGAGAAGGGCAGGCTGCCCCCAAAGGCACCACTCTGCATAATGATGATCTTAATCATTGTTACTTGTTACTGAGGAAACAGTGCAAGGACACTCCCACCCTCCTCCGTCCCACTGAAAGCAGGAAGCAAATCTCCCGTATGGAAAATACCCTCCCTGTCCCACAAGGAAAAAGACACCCACATCACCAGACCCGGGACTTGGGAAAGCAGAGAGGAGCAGCTGGGATTGTTCTGACCCCAGGGTTTACCACCTCTCGGCAAAAACAGAAATTGACACGAGGCCAAGAAACGATTCCAGCAGCGTTTATTGGGGTCTATGCTCCACCACCAGGGAGGCAGTGCCGTGAGCAACCGTCCCAGCCGGCTCTCTGAACAAAAGCTGTCAAAGCCTGCAAAGGGGCTGGGGCAGCAGGTGGACACAGGACGTTGGGGAGCTGGCGCAGTGGACAGAGCACGCCCCTGCACTGGGGGTCTCGTTAGCATGTTAGGTCCCCACCCCTGGCCGCGATTATTGGTATTTAATGAAGATAAAAGTAGGTGAGGGCCAGCGCTGGGGTCCATCTTGGCCAAAGCTGTCTAGTTTGGTTTCTTCGTTTGAGTTCCTTCTGGAAAACACCCTGTCCCCCAATCCTTATGAGATAGAATGCTCAAAAGCACGTAGCTCAGCCTCTTCTCCTAAGGTGATCAGCACAGAGCGATGGGCTTTGTGGCTGTGGCAGGGGAGTGGGGACCCAGACACAGCCCCTGGTCTACCTCATTCCCCCTGAGAGATTTTACCCTCCTTATTCCTAAGGAGGAGGGGCCGAAGGTCTCATCTTCTGAAACTGCTTCTTGCTGAGCGGGGCGCCGTCCCTGTCCCGCCTGGAGGGGTAAACATCTCTCGCTGGCTGCTCTACCCATCTGTAGGGACCCTGTTCCTCCCGGGGCTCGGTGGGTGGGACCCTTGGGCCACTATCAGTTTGACAGGAAACTGCTGTCCCCTAGAAGACTCAAACTTAACCGAAAGATTAAGGAGGTAGGTTCCGAATATTAACAAAAGAACGTTTGCCACCAGAGGGCCCAGGAAAGAAAGGCATCATGCAATGCTAGGCATATAACCTCTGAGTCCTATAGTCTGGGCGCTGAGGCTCTTGAACCCATGCAATGACCTGGCTTGTCTGTAAATCTCCTGAGTATTTAGCTCGACTTCCCTGGAGTCGTTGATGTTCCTACAGCAGGTGTCACTGACTACCGCACAGACACCCCCTTGTGTGGCGGGAAGATAATCTAGAGCTAACCTGTTGTCAAGGGAATCAGGGGCTCCTGGAGGCCCTCTGAGGGGTCACCAGTGCTTGAGGCCGGGTTCTCGGTGACCCGGGTCAGGCTTTTTAAGGTTGTCTCATGATAGGCAACCCCTTCCCGGGGGGGCAGCCGGTCCCGCGGCGTCTCAAGGCGCCGCCAAGATGTGCGCGGTGCTCTCCTACGTCTGGCTGGAGAGGTGACGTTATATATAGCGGCAGCTAATCCTTCTGGGCCCACTCGTCCCACAGTGCATTCTCCCCGGAAGTGGACATTATCTAAACACGAATAGGCCACTGCCCGAAGAGGCCAGGAGAAGGAGGAATCGGGGCTCCCTTCGTAGGGCAGCTTATTCTGTGGCGGGCCACAGAGGAACAGGTATCCACGGGGAGCACAGGCCCGGCGGGCTAACGAGGAATTAAACCAGCTTCGTAAAAGGGGCCCCCAGGTAGGCGTGCTCTTGCATCTGGGGGACAGGGGCCCCCCGTCCATCGGCCCTCCACCCAGCTCTGCGTCCTCCTCTATCCCCTCGCGGCTGTCGAAGGCAGATGGGGTTTGATAGGTGAGCCTCCAGGAAGGGGTTGCCGTTCCTTTCCAGTGAGTGCAGGAGTAGTTAGGCTGGTCGCCCGGGGGGAGCAGAGAGGGGTCCACACACCAGTGCGTCTGGTTGGGGATGCACGAGGAGCTTGCGACGGAAAAGGACATAGGGTAAATGGGGGGCGAGCTCCCCGCACCGGGAAGGCAGCTGTTGGTCTCGCAGGGGCAGCAGGGCCGCCCCTGTTCTCTACAGAGAAGAGGGCGCTTAACCTGGAGGCCAGTTTGGTTCCAAGTGTCTGTAAGGGTCACACACGTCATATCCTTGCGATCATCAAGCTCCGCCACCAGGAGTGGTATGCTCCTAATGGGTCCAGAAGTCAAGGTGAGTGGAACGTCCTCATTTGTGGGTACAAACTGGAGCTTAGGAACCCCCTTCTGTGGGTGGGGATGGCAGATCCAACAATTAGAGAGATTATTTCCCGAGGCCACAATGCTGGATAAGTTGACAACTGAGTTTTCTCCCCAGGCTCCCCTCCCTTTGTTATGTGCTTCCCAACTCATCCCCAGGAGAAGGGTCCAGAGGAGGGTCCACGTCATGCCTCCCATCATTGATGTTAACCTTCTAGACCCAGCAGGGGCGGAACGCGTCTTTGCCAGAGAGTGGAGGTGACCCAAAACGGTACCCACAGAGAAGAAAAAGGAAAGCAAAGGCAACCAAAAGAAAAGTCAGCAAACCAATCCACCAAGATAGAATCACTTATCTGATTCTGAGGGTCGCTTCTTGAGCCAGGTCTCTGAGGTCTTCCACAGGCTCACAGGAGGAAGACGGTTATCGGCCTTCCAGGCGGTTCTGAGGATGTCCAGGAGAAAAGGATTTTAGCCTGGAAAGATGTCCCCAGCTAAGGGTTCCTTGCAGCTTAACTGCCACTGGAGTGGCTAAAAATCACCTGATAAGGATGCTTCCCCTTGGGTAGCAGCTGATTTTTTCCAGGGAGCCCTCCTTCCAAGTTGTAAGGAGGGCCTGACCCCCCGGCTTCATCTGCAGAGGTGCCATCTCTTCTAAATTACCTCCAGGGCGTGCTGGCAGCCTGGGACCAGCCAGCTTTCTGCACGTGGCCCAGATTAACCAAAGGCTGCAAGCCAGGCTGTCTCCCCGTGTGGCAGGACACGGGCTGGACCAAGGGTCTCCCACATCATTTCAAATGCGCTGAGTCGTACGGGCGGGGGGACTCCTGAGAAGCGTGAGAGGAAGCAATTTGACCCAAAGCTGTTCAGTTTCTCGACAGAGTGTTGCTCACATCTTTTTTAGGGTCTGATTCATCTTTTCTACCTTCCCCGAGGAATGGGGGTGCCAGGGAGCACGTGATTTAGAACTAATTCCCAGGGCTGCCAAAAGGCTCTGGGTGACTTTAGCTGTAAAAGAAGGCCTGTTACCACTTTGGAGAGACTTAGGAATTCCCTTTTAGGGGGGATTTACAGACCTCAGTTGCCTTCCCAGACCCGGGTGGGGAAGGCTTGTACCCATTCAGTAAAAATAGCAACAAACATGAGGTAACACCTGTAGCCTGACCGTGATCGCATCTGGGTGAAGTCTACTTGCCCTCTCCCAGGACATGCCTTCTGGGCGGAGACCGGCATGAGAAGTGGGGACAGACTGGATGGCTCTGTGGCTTATTTTGTGTGCAGAAGTCACAGGCAGGGGCAACTTGTTTTATTGTCTAAGTTGCTGTTCTAGAAAGACCCTTTGCACCAACCTCCATTGGACATCTCTTCCATAATGGGTGGCATCATGTGAATGTTTGAGCTCTTATTGTTGGGCTTCCGGGATGAGGATCTTGTCCTCTCCCATAAGCCACCCGGCACCTCGTTCTGTATATCCCTGTCTGCGCCCTCCCATTCCAGCAGGGAGCTTTGAGGGTGGCCGGAGAACTCAGAGAAGCCAGCTATCGAGGTGGCGGTCGTTTGATCTGGTTGCTGCGCTCCATGGACTGTTTGAACAGCTGATTGGTCAGCCTTATTATTTTCTTTGCTTACACAGGTCCCATCTTTTTGACAACTTTACAATGGACTACAGCCACCTGAATGAGAAGCTAGACTACCTCTAGGAAACTGAAAATTGGGTCCTTATGCTTCACTGGTGAATTTTTACTGTTAACATCTTTCTGGATGGCCGCATGGGCATGTAGTACACAGAATCCATATTTTGAATCAGTGTAGAGATTTAATCTTTTCCTTCCCTCAATTGCAAGGCCCTAATTAGGGCTACCGGGTCAGCCTTCTGGGTGGACCAAGTGTTGAGGTGAGTGCTACTTAGGCTCACGATCACATAGCCTGCCTTCCAGATACCTCCCTCCACAAAAGTGTTCCTGTCTATGAATGACATCATATCTGGTTTGTCAAGGGGTTTGTCTAGAAGGTCAGGTCTGCTAGAATAGGTCTGTTCTACTGTCTCCATACTGATGTTGCAGACCCTCCTCTTCTCCAAACGGGGGCAGGGAAGCTGGGTGTAGTCCAGAGGACCTTTAAAATATCTGGGGAATCCGGCAAGAGGGTCTCCTATTTCCTTAGCCTTCCTCCAGCCAGCCAACGGAGCCCTCTAATCCCAATTCGGTCTGAACCTGACCGGGAGTCAGGCTGACCCAGGGTAGGCTTACTGGCCTTGCTCACGGAGAGACATGTGGCTGTCACTGCTGGGCTGTCCCTGTGCACCCAGGTCTAGCTAGTTTGAAAAGCAGTCTCTGATGAGAGTCCAGCTTTTGAGTTAGGACCCCCAAAGCCTGACTTTCATGGACATAGAAGGTAAAAGGCTTATCCAAATAGGGGAACCCCAGGGCAGGCGCCCCAGCCAGCTTTTTCAAGGCTCTAAAAGCCCCCCCGACACAGTCCATTGTAGGGGTTCCCTTCCTTCCCCCTTCATGTTCTCATACGGGGGTTTGCCATTAGGGCCGTAATTGGGGAACCAGACACGACAGAACTCTTTGAGGTCAAGAAAGCCACGGCGTCACTTTCTAGTCTGTGGAATGCACAGGCGCTGATGGTCCTCTTGGGGTCTGTGGCCAGGATACGGGTGCCTGGTATTGGGATGAAGCCCAAATACTGGCCCTGTTGTGATATGTGACCCTGTGATGGGGACCCCATATCCTCTGTTAGCTAGGAAACTTATGGCTTTTGCAGTATTATGGCCCAAGGACTGCTTGGTCAAACTGGCTATTAACAAACAGCATTTTGTGTTGTTGTTGTTGTTTTTTAATGTTTATTTATTTTGAGAGAGACAGAGTGTGAGCAGAGAAGGGGCAGAGAGAGAGGGAGACAGAGGATTCAAGGCAGGCTCCAGGCTCTAAGCTGTCAGCACAGAGCCCGACGCAAGGCTTGAACTCACAAGCAAGATCATGACCTGAGCCAAAGTCAGACACTCAACCGACTGAGCCACCCAGGCATCCCGCCATCTCTCTATTTCAATTCTTATAACTCTTTTGTCGGTATATTTCCAAACAGATTTGGAGGGGGTTTTCTCTAAAGCCTGTGAGAAGCACCACCCAGGTGTACCGAGTCGTCTCTGGAGTATCGGGGGTTTTCCTCTCAAAGTCAAGTAAATACTGACTCTCCTCGTGAAGGGACATGCAGAAAAAGGCATCCTTCAGCTCAAGGATGGTAAAAAACTTAGCATCGCCTGGACCCTGGGTAAGCGGAGTATAGGGGCTTGAGTACTACTGGCTGTGTGAGAACAGCTTTATTTATAGGCCTGAAATCCTGTACAAAGCAATATTCTCCACTGGCCTTCCTCACTGGGAGGACTGGGGTGTTATGACTGACAAGGCTTGATCCGTCCGCACTTGAGAAATTTTGAAATGATCAGGTGGATTCCTCCTCAAGATTTACTTTTTATGGGACACTGTTTTTTCCAAGGACACCCGCACTGGGTTTTCCCTTCACCTGAATGGGAAAGACTTTTTTTTTTTTGCCTCACCTGGGACATGAGCCTCCCACACAGATGGGTCTACTTGGATTTATGTGCGGGCTGGGGCCTGGGACCACCCAGTGGTGCCCATGGATGAACTCCGTCTTTCTGTTCTATCTCCATTTTAATGTCCCCCTTCTCAAGGTAAACAGTGGCTCCAGAATTGTTTTGAAGATCTGTCCCGGTGACCGAACAAAGCACTCGGGGGCATAAGGGAAACAATGTGTAATAACAGTCCATGTGGCCTCACAGGCGAAGGGAAAAGTCAACTGTCTCACCGCTGGCCGGCCGCCCCTCCCAGTCACCGCACGGCCACCGCTGCGGAGGGGCCCACGGGTTGAGTCAGGGAATGTAGCTTTCCTACGTGCCACGTCAAGGGCGACCGAGGCTCTGCCAGGGCCGATGGTGAGGGGCCGGGTGGGTGCCGGGCCCTCTGTATGGTTGCGGGGTCCCTCGTCCAAGAGACTGGCTGGGGCCGGGGGTCCCTCCTGGGGCGGGCAGGCTCTGGTCCCCCTCCCCCCGCCGCCTTCTGCCTGCATTACGCACACCTGTCCGTCCAGGGCGGCCCCCGCTCTGCCTTGGTGGTTCAGGCTGCGGTCGTCTGGGGTCCCGGGGTCCCCCTGAGGAGGAGGCTGGACCAGGGCAGCCGGAACCTCCCTGTTTTGCTACCCTTGTCTTTACTGGGCTCCTCTGCCCGGTCTCAGTTACTAAAGACCTTGAAGGCCTTCTCCAGCAAGGCGGACAGCAGGGACTGCGGACCTGCCTCTGACGTCTGTAGTCCCCCCACAAGATCGGAGGCAGGCCGGGCGACACAGCACATAGTCAGACCTCCCCGCGCTGACTCTGGGACTCCGTCTGCGTGTCTGCGCCAGGCGTCCGTCACCGGATTAGAAAGACAGCTGGAATCTCATCCTTTTTGCTGATGCATTTCCCTCACCTTGTCGTAGCTAGCTGGTCTCGCTATGCACCTGTCATCCCTTCAGACAGGCGGGTGATAAAGTGCCTCTGGGCCCTGGGGATTCTGCCCTCCTGATCCCACTGCGGGGCCCCGGCAGGGACAGCGTTTCCTCCGCCCCCCGGGGCTGGCAGACCCCTAGACCCCAGGCTGTCAGCGTAATCCCCAGCCTGCCCAGGGTCCGTCTTTCCCATCTCGGGTGCAGCAGTAAGGACTGAGATGACATCTCGTCAGGGGAGGGAGAAAGCTAGATTTAACGTCATAAATTTATCCCTAAATTTAGAGGAGTTGTTTTTGTTTTTTGGAAAAATGACCCAACTTTTCCTTACACAGAACCAAGTCTGTAAGCGAGAAATGGACAGCACTCTGGGACTCCCTCCTTCAGGTATGGCCTTCCCTCCGGGGAAACAGATTCGGTTGGGGCCCGGCTGGGGTTGGGGCCTGGCTGGGGCTGAGCGGGCAGGCGCAGTGGGGCTTCCTCCAGAGGAGGGAGGAGGACGAGGGGCAGGGAAGCTCCGTACGAGTAAGGACGCGGGGAGCTGCTGGAGGAAGGAGGGCAGGTTGTGGGGTCAAAGTCGCAGGGGCAGAGGGGGTTTGGGAGGGGACTCCTGCGAAGGGGTACTAGGTGCCAGTTGACTAGAACAGGGGACTGTCTAAAATGTCTGGTTTCGGGGCACCGGGGTGGCACAGTCAGTTAAGCGCCCAACTCTTGACTTTCAGCCAGGTCATGATCTCACGGTTCGTGAGTTCGAAGCCCCGCCTCAGGCTGTGCGCTGACTTTGCAGAGCCTGCTTGGGATTCTGTCTTCCCCCCTCTCTGTCCCTCCCCCACTCTCTCTCTCTCTCAAATAAACAAATATAAATTTAAATAAATAAATAAAACACCCAGGAGGGGGTGCCAGTGGTAACCATTGGAGGCCACAGACTCTGCAAGGATCCTTTACTTTGGGGTCTTGGGGTCTCTCCTTACTTCTGAAATCTTTTGCAAAACAAATCCAACTGCAAGATAGTATTAAAATGTAACGATCCATTTTGAGGCCATTGTTCCTGGTCCTTGGTCTCCTAAGTTATATAGGGGCCGAACAGTGCCGTGCAAAAATAATAATAATTTTTTAAAAATTAATTTCCTTTCCTTTTCTTTTCTTCAAGCCATCCGATTTAAACTGATCCCAACTGTTAAAATAACATTCTAGAAGGGAGTCTTTTGCCCCATTTAAGGTGTGGCCCATGTTGGGAACTTGGATGGACCTGGTGACTTATTTGAAAAAAAAGATGAAAGCTGACTAGCAGGTATAATCACAGTTTGTGACTCTCCTTGTCCCAGCTGGGCTATTGGTAGACGCAGGTCAGTAGGAGGGAAGCTTGATTTCTTGAAAAAGGCGGCTCCCCCCCTCCCCCCGTAGAGAAAAAGGTTAATCCTTGAGGCCCCCCAATCCTGACCAGGTCTGGATTTCTTCAGCCTTACACTGGAACTAAGTCGGGCTCACCAGGAATGCTCCTTCCCTCTGAATAGGATAACAAGTTACCAGATGTTTCACAAGACAAACAAAAAGGAAAAAGACAAGATGGTCAGGAAGTTAACACTTAACGCAAAGACAACACAGAGCCCTCAGGGCATCAGCCCCATTCGGAACGACAACAGAAAGAACACAGATCTGACACTAAAGAAAATCACAAGAGTCTGGAAGTAATTCCAGGTCTCAAACCCAGGAAACAGAGGCCAGCCACAAGGAAAGCCAGGGGAGAGGCTACCAGAGGCTCCGGGTGACCTGCAGGGGACCGACACCGGGGGAGGGGCCTCAGTGGGGTACAGGGGACACTCACGCCGCTGACCCCCGGTGACCTGCAGGGGACCGACACCGGGGGAGGGGCCTCAGAGTGGGGTACAGGGGACACTCACGCCGCTGACCCCCGGTGACCTGCAGGGGACCGACACCGGGGGGGGGGGCTAGGCTTGGCGGGGGCAGGGGGCACTCGGCCCCGGAAACGCTGGCCCGGACGGCCTTGCTCCGCCCGCGAAACGCAGACCACAGTGACAGGGACGGAGGGAGACGGGCAACAGCCGGCGCAGCCCGGAGCGCGGCCCGAGACCAGGGCGGTCCCGGCGGCGGGAGGCACGACTTACCCCCAGCTCCGCGCCGCCGGTGAGTCGCACGGGAGGGGCCCCTCCGCCGTCCGCAGGCCCCGAGCGCTCCGGCCCTCGCGGGGTCCCGGCGTGGTCGCAAAAGTCCGACCGCGACCCCAGGGCTCTTGGACTCTCAGCGCAAACGGAAATCGACATGAGGCCGAGAGAGGGGCCGGGGGGGGCGCTTCCGGGGGTTCCTCCAGCCCCGGGGGGGCGCCAGGCGAGAAGTCCCCGCCGGCTCCCGGGACCCGCCCGCCGCTGGCGAAGCGGCCGAGGCGGGAAAGCAGGGGGGCCGGGCCGGCAGGGGCGGGACGCCGGGAGCTGGCGCGCAGGCGCAGTGCGCAGCACGTGCCTCCCCCCGCCCGGCGGGTCCCGGGAGCCTGTCAGGTCCCCACCCCTGGCGGCCTGGTGGGGGCGGTGAGGAGCCGGCGAGGGGTCGGCGCCGGGGTCTTCTACGCGCCGGCCGGCTCGGTCCGGGTTCCTCTGCTGAGTTCCTTCCGGCAAACCTCCCGCTTCCGCATTCCTGCGAGGTCTGCAGCCCTGGAGCGTGTGGCCCAGCCGGTCTTCTAGGGTGACCCGCCCAGAGCAACGGGCCCGGGGGGGGGGGGGGGGAGTTAGGAAGGGTCCCCTGGGGGAAGTGATGGATTTTCAGAGGCTTGAGGACTAGGAAAGAGCCAGCACGTGTGGGGGCCACCTGCCCAGGGTCCCCGCATTACTTGATGAGGGAAGCCCACACCCCGGAACACCCGAGCCCCCCCCAGGCGGGATCGGTGGGACATTCCTCAGGCTCTCCTGGCTGCCCGGGAACAAAGGAAGGGGGAAAACAAGTGGTTACTTGGTAGAGGTCACAGCCCCGCAGGACCAGAGTCTACATCAGTTTACAAGTGTCTTAGTCAAAGACAAGAAAAAGGCAATCTTATCAATAGCTTAGTCTTCAGACGCCTACGGTTTCAGTTTCCTAGAGCCTCAAAATGACAGTCCCCTCCAAAGGCAAGAAGGAAAGGTAAATAACACCGAGTATCTTTAAAACCTGCGGTTCATTGACAAATACCTGAGGTGAATACAGACAAGTTTCTCCAGCAACTGCCCACAGTCTTAATGTTAATGTTTTACTAGACGGAAAACGACCCTAGCTGGACCGCGGCCAGGGCGTGGCATACGCAGGTCCTTCTGGGGACCTCCCTCCCTTGTGACTTTACCTCCCCCAACCCCACAGTATATAAGCAGTCCCTCCTCACGACCCCAGTGCCACTCCTCCTGCCCACGTCCCGTCCCCGTGCTTTAATAAAATCACCTTTTTTGCACCAAAGACATCTCAAGAATTCTTTCTTGGCTGTCAGCTCCAGACCCTCACCACTCCCAAAACCCCAGTAGTAGTAATAATAATAATAATAAAATAATAATAATAATATAATGGTTTTGCTCTCATTCTTTCAAAGTTTTCTAGAGATGATATGACTTGTGATTCTCCAACGCTGAGTACAGAGGCAGATGTGAGGGTCCAGCCCCATCTTCTTGTAGAAGCCAGATATTAGATTTGCAGGAACCTTCGAGAATGCCACAATTTCCCAATAACATTTATTTTGCTTTGGAAACAAGTTATTCACAAGACATGTTTTTCATATTAACATATAATTGGTTTATTATTGCTATTTTCATATTATAAATTATATTATTTATACATATATATTTTCAAATTATAAATACATTCTTTAAATGTCTCAGTGTCAACCTTTAATGCCATAAATATTCACAGGTATAACCCAAGTAAGCCAAAGCTCTTTGGGGTCCTCAATAATTTTTTAATGTCTAAAGGTAGCCTGAGATCAAACGATGAAAACTGCTGCATTGTCCACTGAACGTGACACTTGGGTCCGCTTGGGTCAGGACTCACCCGCTCAGCTGTGACCTTAACCCTTAGGCCATACTCAGGCACTGCGACTCCCAGTTTATTGAGGGGACACCTGAGCCAGGCCACCACATGTCTTCATCTTTCATCCTTCTTCAGCTCAGTTCTAGGCCAGGAGCGCCTTCTGGAAAGGGAGGGGGTGTGTGGAAATGGACCACCAGCTCCTGAGCCCCCGTAGCTGTACCTGAGGCTCAGTGGCACCCAGGCTCCTGTCCCCTCCCACCCGCCAGGCTTGGCTGCCCTGACCCTGACTTCCCTTTGTGGTTTCCCTCCCCTTACAGCCCAGTGTGTCCTGCGTTCGTCACCCGAGGCCACAGAGCCGATGTCCATCTGAGCACCTGACTGTGTCATGCTGATGTTAAAACCTGTCACTTCCCCACACTTTCTTCCCGGTTGGGAGCTGCATGGCAGCGGGGCTGTGCGGCGGTAGTAGTGACGGCCAGGGCCCCTCTACTTGGCTTTGAGACCAGGGAACGGATCCTGGTGGCCGCGCTGGGTCCCCGTGTGGTGAAGGATCAGGCCATCCTCAGGCACCGGGACCCCCCGGGCCCCCGTGAAGGCAGGGCAGACGAAGAGGGGGCTGTCATCAGACCCCAGCCTGAAGAAGGGTCTCAGGGGCCCAGAGAAGGGTGCGCGGGGACATGTGTAGATGTGTGACCTGTCCCTCATGTTATAGAAGGAGATATCTCCCGCTTCGTAGTCCAGAAAGACGGCCACGCGGCGAAGCCGCTCTTTCAGGGGGAGGATCTTCTCGGGGGAAGACAGGACCCGGTACTGGTTCCCAAACATCTCCAGGGTCCAGAAGCCGTTCTGAGGAACCAGCAAGGCCTCGCCTTTCCTCTCCACACCGTCTCTACAAACGCCCACAGCCCACACCATCACGTTCTCGACCTCCACCTCCCAGTAGTGCCTCCCGGAGGAGAAGCTCCCCAGGCCCAGCACGCAGGGCCGGCAGTCGAATCTCTCGGGCGTGTCAGGCACACTCGGCCTGCGGGGGCCTCGCCGCACGCTTCTCCCGTCGTCTGTTAGGAAGAGCTCGGGATGCGCCGTGTCCGGGTCTAGGACCACGTCAGCTGCAGGGGAAGGTTTAGGTTGGGGGCTCAGGGGATGGTGCCATTCCTGGACCCCAGACGGGGCCCAGAAAGGTGGCGGGAGACCTTCCCAGAAAGCCCCCCGAGCCCGATTCCGCAGCTGGCGCACACAGCGGCTGAGGCTGCCGGTCTATCTCCCAGTCACTCGCGAGTTCTGAAATTCACGCAAAGAGGAAAGGTCCGAGGACCACGGTCTCCGGCACAGCCTGGGTTCCTTGGCGCTTTGGGGCACATGGGGCGAAATCGGAAGATGCCAAGTGCCTGCCAGGGTGAGACATTTGCATCCTACCCCCCTTACCCCCCCCCCCCCCCCCAGGCCAGACACACAGTAGACTGTGGGGCAGAAGCGCTGGGACCCAGAGCTGGGGGGTCACTGCCAGTGAGCTGACCCCAGTCCCCACCCCACCCCCCGCGGGCTCGCACCCCAGGTCATGTGCTCTAATGCGCCCCGGCCAGTGGGGGGACGCTGGAGAGCTGAGGGAGAGTGAGGCGCTCACCAGCATGGAGCAGGCTTCTCCTCCATCCTACAACAGAGGGACAGGCACAGAGGTGAGGCTCAGGGGGCGGGCAGAGACGCAGCAGAGCACCGACCGCACGGGACCCTCCGGGAGCTGCCACACTTACGCAATTCTTCTTGAAGTTGCTCTGAAACATAAACAGACACACGTGAATGTATGTCCTCAATAGAAGAAAGAAGAGAACTTAAATGAGTTTGTATCAAACGAGGAAGGATTGGCCCTTCGTGAACACCACCGTCCCCCTCCCCTCCTGCCTGTCAGACTGTGAACATTCCGGAAATAGCCTAGGAGCCGGGGGTGCTCAGGAGGTTTGCTTCTGTTCCCCAAGGCAGCCCTGCAGGCAGCGAGGGACGTGGACAGAACAAGCTGTGAGGGCGGGTCCCAGATGCCACTGTCCCCAGCCCCTTGCCGTCACCTCTTTATACCCTCCCTGTCCCCAGCCTTCAAGCTGCCAGAGCTGTGTCCCTGTGTGACCATGACCTGACCTCCTATCTTTTACCTCTTATTTGACGTTCTTTCTCTCTTTCCACATCTTCCTTCCCCAATTCCTGACATGCAATTTCTTTCTCTTCATTTTCAACCTCTTTTTTCCTGCGGAGTTTCCTGGCAAGACAGATGCTTCCAGCGATGAGGAGCAGCAGAGAAGGCGGGGTGGCAGCCAGGCCCGCCATCCAGGAGATCGTGCAGGGGGGCAAGGATTCTGAAAAGGGGGCCCCAGGATGAGAGAGCCCCATCAGAAGGGCTCCCTGAGGTCCCTGCTCTGTTGGCTTCTGTCTGAGAAACCCCAGAAAGGGCCCCTGGCTCTGCGTCCACTCATCCCCCAGCGACTGCCAGGGCTGGGGGCCCAAGCAACCGCAAGGCAGGCATCCCTGGAGTCACCATGGCCTGCCCACAAGCCGCACCTGCCTCTTGCGTGCGGTTCCTCAAAACTGCCAGACAGGCTCCAGCCTCAGGCCCTTTGCACATGCTGTTCCTGCTACCTGGGCTTCTCGGTCCTCAAATATCTGCCTGGTTCATTCCTCACCTGCCCAAGTGCCATCTTTTTACTGATGACTTCCTGACCACCTGATTTGTAATTACAACGCCCCCCTGCCCCTAGCACTCCCCATCCCTTCCCCCAATTAGTTTTTCTACAGTACTTAGCACTGTTATATCGTCTGCAGCTTAATTATTTCACTTCTTGCTCTCTGCTACTCTAGAATGAGGGTGGGGATCTTTGTCTTTTGTTCACAAATTTATCTTTGCTTTCTAGAACAGTGCCTTGAGCACAGATGATGCTTGTTAAGTATTTGTTGAAAGAATGTGTATGCGTGTAGATAGAGTCCCATCCACCCCTCCCTTCCCTTGAGAAATTCCACTGACAGGAAGGGAGACCAGGCGGCCCCCCTGGGTGTAGGTAGCCACTTGCCCAACCATTCTCCATTTGAGACTGTTCTGAGTGTTTAAAGATTGCTGTGGGGCCTCCTGGCTAATTCAGTCAGAAAAGCGGGTGACTTGTGATCTCGGGGTCATGAGTTCGAGCCCCACAGTGGGTGTAGAGATTACTTGAATAAATAAATATGCTCCAACAAAAATAAAACAATAACACAATTGGAAATTGCTCCAGGATAGGGACCAGAGCAGAGAAAAAACTACCAGGTTTACCCTCAGAGAAGACTGCTTGGGGGGCACCTGGGTGGCTCAGTCGGTTAAGCATCTGACTTTGGCTCAGGTCATGATCTCATGGTTTGTAGGTTCGAGCCCTGTGTCAGGCTCTGTGCTAAGCGCTAGCTCAGAGCCTGGAGCCTGTCTTCGGATTCTGTGTCTCGCTCTCTCTCTGACCCTCCCCTGCTTATGCTGTCTCTCTCTCTCTCAGAAATAAATTTTTTTAAAAAATTAAAAAAAAAAGAGAAGACTACTCGGTTTTGCCCTGGAGACAAGGAGAGTGGCCCCCAGGTCTTTGGGGTGCAGGACACTCATGCCCCACGCTCTCCCTCCCAGAGCGCCAGGCCCCCGTCTGTCTGTGTGAGGACACCCCCCCCCCCCGGCCCTCCAGGGTGCAGGGGACCAACCTGGAATGAAAACCACAGTTTCCTTCTCCTGGCCAAGCAGGGTGTTGTTGACGACGCAGGATGCGTTCCTCACAGAGCAGTCCCTGATGACCACGGCCACAGTGACGGTGAAGAGGCCATCTGCGCCCACGGTGTAAGCCTCCTCCAGGCTGGGCATGACCTCACCATAAGGGTCCCTCCAGACGGTGCGGGGCTGCGGGAACCACCCCCCGGAGCTGCACTCCAGCCGGGTGCCTCCGTCCTCATGCGCCTTCATCTCAACGAGGGGCTTGGAGCCCAGGCCTGGGGACGGAGAGCAGGGCTCAGCTAAGGAGGCTTCCGCGTCTTAGCCAAAGGGTCTCAGATCCGCTCTCAGCGGGGCGAGCCCCGGGAAGGGGGAGACAGCAAGCGGCCAGTGGCCAGAGAACTGGTTATGAGTATCCCACGCGTGCCCCCAGCACCCCTTCCGTGAAGGGAAGAGGGAAGGGAGGGAGAAGAGCCTGACGGTGCGGAACACCAGGAACCAACATGCCGATGGGTCCTGAGATCTCTGAGGACAGGATGGCACCGCACCTTGCCTGGCGCTCTCCCCTGGCCCCATCACACCGGCACGCGTCCGTCGGTCTCCTGAGTGTTCGGTGATTGGTTCAGTTCAGTGAGAGATTCTGGTGGGAGCGTGCACTCTGGCCTGAGGCAGCCCGTGGAGGATCTCCCTTTCTGTTCCGGAGCCCTTCTCAGCAGCACTGGCTTCCGGCCATATGCTCCCGAGCGTGTGACAAGGACAGAAGCCTGCGCCGCCAGCAGTCTTAGGAAACTTTTGACCTCGAATCACTGTCCCTTCTCTCCTGGCTAACGAGGGCATCATGTGACCGCAGGCCATCAGGAGTGGCTGGGTTTTAGGAGAATGGACAGAACTAGAGTGTACACCTACCCTTGCCCTCCTGGGGGGCTCAGTCAGCCAGGTGAGTTCCTGACGTCCCTCCACAACATCTAACTAGTAGAAAGATCTGGACGCTCCTGGCATCCTCAAGAAGCAATATCACGTCTTCAGTGTCAGCAGAACATCACACAAAATTCCTGAACGCAGTCTCTTACGACTTATTCTGTCTTTAAAAGAATCTCTAATAAAAGAGAATATACCAATGCCAGACCCGAAAATGCAGTCTTAGGAGACTTCCGCCCCGTTAGCCAGGGCTCCATTGATCGTCCAAACTTTTTAAAAAATGTTTATTTATTTATTTCTGAGAGAGAGAGAGAGAGACAGCGTGAGCAGGGGAGGGTCAGAGAGAGAGGGAGACACAGAATCTGAAGCAGGCTCCAGGCCCTGAGCTGTCAGCACAGAGCCCAATGCAGGGCTCGAACCCACGAACCGCAAGATCATGACCTGAGCCGAAGTCAGACACTTAACCAACTGAGCCACCCAGGTGCCCCCAAACTTTTTTTAAATTTAATGTAGTTTAATTTTATCTTATCTTATCTTATTTTTATTTATTCTGGAACAACTCAGCAAGATAAAATTCCAGCTTATCGTTGGATGACACTGTTTCCTCCAAGCTGCTTCCAAGCAACTCCTTTGTTAGGGCTGCGTGACAAATGAAAAGACAAAAACCAAAATTACAGCAATCGCTGAAGGCTAGTGGCACCTGCTCCATCTGATTTTTGCCAAGAAGAAAGAAACAAACAAACAAGAAGCCTAGTTGCATATGGAAAGGCTTACACAGAAACTGAGCAGTGGGATAAGACTCAAAAGAATTGGGCAAGTTGGAAGGGAATTCTACAAAATGGGGTTCAGTAAGGCGAGCATTAGACAGTAGACTTGAAGACAAAGCCAGCCAGCCAATTAAGCAAACGAGAACACAAGAAACAAACAAGTGTACACTTCAGCTCAGAGCAGGCCAGGCCAGGCTGGAGTGGTGTCCACGGGGAAAGGACAGAAGGTTCCGGCCGCATACAAGCCCATCCCGGGCCCCTGCACGGGTTGCTATTAGCAGTCAGGACACCAGGGTGAGAAGTCTTCCTGCCATAGTATTTTCTATCAGCCACATACAAGATTGCCCTTCACAGGAACAAAGACGGGGGCTCCTACCATCTGTGAATTGAGGGGGGGTCACACTGTCCCCTAAGCCTTACTTCCATCGATCTGATGCACTGAAATGCCATTGATTTATGTGTATCTTAAAGGCTTTTCCAGTCTTCAAATGTTTCTTTTAAAATAGAACACACTGGCCAGAGAGTCAGCGCATACCTTAAACCCATTATTGATAAACTCCTAGAAATCGAGGTGTAAATGCCACTTTCCTTCCGAAGTCCTGCCTGATTGCTCCCGGCTCAATTCCCACTGGTTCCCCTGGGGGTCAACAGGCTTGGTGATTAATCACACTTTAATGAACTCATCTGTACAAAGCAGTCACTCTCACTACCATCAGTATTTGGGCAAAGGGGGAAAAATGGCAAACTCAGTATTTATCAAGACAAGGGAGGGGCGCCTGGGTGGCTCAGTAGGTTAAGCGGCCGACTTTGGCTCAGGTCATGATCTCACAGTTTGTGAAATCAAGCCCTGCGTTGCGCTCTGTGCTGACAGCTTGGAGCCTGGGGCTGCTTCAGATTCTGTCTCCCTCTCTCTCTCTGCCCCTCCCCCACTCATGTTCTGTCTCTCTTTTTGAAAAAAAATTTTTTTAATGTTTTATTTATTTCTGAGAGGGAGACAGGGTGAGCAGGGGAGGGTCAGAGAGAGAGGGAGACACAGAATCCAAAGACAGGCTCCAGGCTCTGAGCTGTCAGCACAGAGCCTGACGCGGGGCTCGAACCCATGGACTGCGAGATCATGACCTGAGCCAAAGTCAGCCGGTTAACCAACTGAGCCACCCAGGCGCCCCAATCATGTTCTGTATCTCTTTAAAAAAAAAGACAAGGGATGGCTGTACATCATAGTTTGCTGGACAAACTACTAGCCCTGGTGGATTTCACTTGTCCCCATGCTTCTGACTATCAAAATCAGAGACTTTGAGTGAGAAAGTATATGGTCCCCCATCTAGACCCCAAGACCCCAAGTGCCAGGAGCGGTGCCAGATGGGGCTTCACGCAGGGTCCCTCTCCCCAGAGGGACAGCTCCCTCCCTCCATTCTGCTTCTGTTCAATTGCCATCCTTTCAGGGAAGCTGTCTAGGACCATTCTTTTACCCCTTCCCCCTGCACTCCCCCCCCCAAGTATCCCTAACCCTTCTCTGCTTTCTTTTTTCTACCCTACTCACCACCATCGGGTATAAGACCCAGCATAATTAATTATAATATTTATTGGCTGACTGCACTCCTAGAACGTGGGCTCCATGAAGGCAGGAGACTTGGTATATTTTGTTCACTGCTTTACCCTCAGTTTGTTGGAACAATAACTTGGAACATAGGAGGGGCTTGTTGAGTATTTGGTCTTTTTTTAAATGTTTTATTTATTTTTGAGAGACAGAGACAGAAACAGAGACAGTGTGAGCAGGGGAGCATCAGAGAGAGAGGGAGACACAGAATCCAAAGACAAGCTCCAGGCTCTGAGCTGTCAGCACAGAACCCGAAGAAGGGCTCAAACCCACGAGCCATGAGATCATGACCTGAGCCGAAGTCCGACGCTCAACCGGCAGAGCCACCCAGGCGCCCCGAGTATTTGTTGAATGAACTTGTGAATGTCTGTGATGAGATGGAGCCCAAAGGTAAATCAGCAATTTCTTTTTTTCCACTCATTCATTTTACAACTATTTTTTAAAATATTATTTTTTTCATGTTTATTTATTTTGAGAGAGAGAGAAAGAGCACAAGCAGGTGAGGGGCAGACAGAAAGGGAATGAGAGAATTCCAAGCAGGCTCCATGCTGTCAGCGCTGAGCCCAACTCGGGGTTTGAACCCACCAACTGTGAGATCATGACCTGAGCCAAAACAAAGAGTTGCCGCTTAACCGACTGAGCCACCCAGGTGCCCCTTTTAAAATATTTTTTAATGCTTACTTATTTTTGAAGGGGGGAGGGGCAAAGAGTGAGGGAGACATAGAATCTGAAGCAGGCTCCAGACTCTGAACTGTCAACACAGGGCTTAACCCGGGGGTTCAGACCCACAAACCATGAGATCATGACCTGAGCGGAAGTTGGACACTTAACCAACTGAGCCACCCGGGTGCCCCCAGGACTATTTTAAAGTACCTACTAGATGTCAAGCAATCTACTAAATGCTGGAGATAGAGTGGTGAATGATTGCTGGTGTTAGCCCGATCCTGATTGGTTCTGGTTGTGATTTGGACTGTAAAGCTTAAAAAAACAAAACAACAACAACAACAACAAAAAGTCCAGTGACAAAGCCCGAAAGGGTACAAAGCCTGAAAGGTACTCTTTAGTGCCATCCACCAAAACTTTTCAGTTCACCTGGGCACACGGCGGGGATAGTGCTTCCGCTCTCCTGTGCAGTGAGGCATGTGACTGGCTCTGGTCCGTGAAATGTGAGTCTAAATAACACGCAGCACCTCTGAGCAGAGGCTTTATGAGCCAGCGGGGGATCTGCCAGGCCCTCCTGCCCTCGCTAAGGGGAACGGCAGAGCTCCGCTCCCTGAGGGCGGGGCCTGGGAAGTCAAGCCCCGCTTGGCCCGTGAGGACCCGTTTCATTGTCAGAAGCGGACCTTTGTTAATTTAACATAGTGAGTTCGCAGGGCTGCTTGTTACCAGAGCGTCACCCAGCCTGGCCCGACTAACGCACACATCAAAGATGATTAAAAATATGGACTGACCGCAGGCTCACAGGAAAGGGTTTAAAGAAGCAGCTCTCAGTCTCAGAATGAAGGTAGCGCAGGGATGAGATGCGGATCACCTACAGCTTTATGCAGCAGATTCATTTATTCATTCAGTTACTACTTGTGGAGCACCTGCTATGGCCCCCAATCTGTTCTAGACATGGGCATAGACAGGAGCAAAATAGGAAACAATGTCTCGAGTGGAAGAGACATAATAAGCAGGATAATAAGTAAAGTGGAAGCCTCTTCTATGGAAGAGGCTGTATGTGCTGAGGAGAAAAGCCGGGAAGGGGAGTTAAAAGTATCAAGGATAGTGTTTGACCCTCACAGTCATGAAAAGCAACTTGACTAGAAAGAAGAAATGGATCGGGGACCCTGGGGGTTCAGTCAGTTGAGCATCTGGCTCTTGATTTTGGCTCCCGTCATGATCTCGAGGTTCATGGGATCGAGCCCCACGTCAGGCTGCACTGACTACGCAGAGGCTGCTTGGGATTGTCTCTCTCCTCTCTCTGTCCTCTCAAAACAAACAAACAAACAAACAAACAAACAAACAGAATTATCTCTAGGGATTAAGCATTCTCCCTGGCTCAGGGCTATCGCAGGGCAAAGCCACTCATTTGGCCCGGAGGCAGGAGGAAGCCCCTTTTCCCTGTTCATAGAGGCTTCTCGGCAAAAATCTGCTGATCTGCAAAGGGCTTGGGGTGAGAGAGAAACTCTCCGTAAGAGGGACACTGAAAAAGCAACCAAGCAAAATGAAATGAGGACGCACCTGCCACCATGAGCCGCAGGATGGCCTCATCGTAGGATCTGCCTTCTTGGAAATAACAGCGGTAGATGCCGTCCTCATGCGCCGTGACATTGCGTATGATGAGCGCCACGCTCCCCTTTTTGATACCTTCGCTCACAAAGGTTGTCCTTCCTCGGTACGCCTCCAGCTGCTCCTCCGGTCTCTCTCGTCCGCCCTTGTACACGAGCACTGCCCGGGAGAAGTGAGTGCGGAGCCACCGCACCTCCATGTCCTCTGCGTTCTTCTCGGGGGACAGGTGGCACTGAAACCTAGTGTCTTCTCCCACCGTGGCCAGGAGTGGGCCCGCTGGACCCACGACAGTAAACTGGGCTGTTCCGCAAAGGAGACAGGGCACAGCCGTGGAAGACGGAAGAAGGGAAAGGAAGTGGCTACTCTGGGAGACGGCTTATTCTTCCTAAGGGCACAGGGGCTTCCTGGGCTGAGGATTCGGGTGCCAGCTGCGGCTGGCTGGCAGCCACCCCCTGCTGAGGCTGCTGAGGCTTGTGAACCAAGTTCCAACAGCTCCACGGAGATCTCCCAGACCCCGCGCGCACAGAGATGGTCTCTCCCCCAGCCTAGCCCGGGCCTGGAGGGCACCGTGACCTTGAGCGGGCCACTCCGGTAGCCACTAGAGAGTCCCAACGGAAACGTGCCCTAAATGCAAGATCCACGCACACACAATCCCACTAATTCACAGTTGAAATAACGCGCTTCTGGTTATGTGGCCTTAAGCAACAAATATTAAACTATATGTCATCTGTTTCCTTTTACTATTTTAAATGTGGCCGCTCAAAAACTTAAACATTGTTCACGCAGCTCGCCTGTGGGGCCCTCGCTGTATTTCTGCCCAAGGCGCTGGTGTGAATTAAACGAGCCTGTGCACAACGAACGCAGCTCGACCCCAACCGCAATACCTCGACCTCCGGCCTGACTGCAGACTCAGGTGTGCATTTTCCCCTCCGCACGGCTGCGGGGGCTCCGGGGCGCCCCTACCTGAGAGCAGGGCGGCCCAGCAGAGCGGCGCCAGGCAGAGAAGCGGGCCGCGCGCGCAGAAGCGGGGGGCGCGCGCGCGCTGCATCCGCGCCACCGACCGGTCAGCGGGGAGGCCTGGGGGTTCAGACGTGGAGCAATCAGCCACCGAGACGGGGCACCAGCTCTGATCCGAGTCCCGCTTTCCTGCAGCCCGCCCTGGGGTGGTCAGCGCCCCCGCTGTCTCCGGGCTCAGGCAGCTCCCGGTAGACGCTCCCTGGATTAAGCCAACAGCACAGCGATCGGGGAGGCAGTTCTCCGCCCTCCCCGGCTCTCTTCTCCGGCCAGAGTTGAGTTTCTTCGGGTGTCACCTGATATTTTCCATACCCTTCCCCTCTCCCTCCCTCCCCCCTCCCCCGGAATCCCGGGGTGCGCTGCGAGGTGGGGACCCCGCCGCCCACAGGGTGGGTTCCCACCTACCCCCCCAGCCCTGCCCCAGAGGGGTAGCTCTACTCCCCTCCCTCCCTTTCCTACCTTCTAGAATTAACTTCTGCGTTCTCTTTTTCTCCTCTGACGTTCAAATGATGATTTTCCTGTGGTCCCTCTTCTGTCCCATCTCATAGTCACAAACAGAGAACAAACCGTCCTGAAATCGGAGGGGGAAAATACGTTTCTTCGCCTCGCGTTACTCGCGGTGTGGGCAGCGGCAGGACCTGGGACCAGGTCCACTCTGACCGCAGAGTCCCAAGATGTCAAGGAATGGTCTGGAGCCCGGGATTGGCCGGCTGTGGATGAACCAGCCAATGGTATCCCTGAGTCTACTTTCTCACCAGTTACTAGGCAGAGTACACAGACAGTTATAAAATCTCACCGCTGCAGAGTTTTTTGAGATTATCTGGCCTTTTAAAATTTCCTTTTCTTTTTTCCAGAAGCAAGGTAACCACCAGGAGAGACGTCTGAGTGTGTAGCGCTGGCGTTGGGGGTGATGAGGCAAACATAAGCAGCCCCCTTTCCAAAGCCGGAGGAATCTGTTCGGGTGCTGGGCTTGTGGGGGTGGGGGGGGGGCTGGAGGGGCCCCGGGAGAGTGAAGGAGGGAACCCAGGGGGGGTGCGGAGGTGGAAAAGAAGGTGCAGTGGCCGTTATGGACACCCCGTCATTCATTCAAAAACTGAGTGAAAGATGCAGAATTTGAGACGCTGGGTCAGCGCAGGGAGGTGAGATTCCAGCGGGAACAGGAAGATGGCACTGAGCAAAGGCCTTCTCTTCGGCCTTCATGCGCTGCCAGTAAGAGGCTGAGTCCAGTGAAGAACGAAACCAGCGCCGTGACAGGCTTCAGACGGCCCCATAAATTAGAAGGCCCGAGTTTCGGAGGCTGACTCAGCAGGCTTGAGCATCCGCCCTCCCCCTGCCCGAACCAATCACTGGAGGTTGGGAGGTACCGGTCGATCCCGCCGCTATTCTGGCCGCTTTGCTTTAAACTCCCAATCCCTCTGCCCCGTGTCAACCTCTGCTGTCGCCTTGTCCTGTCACACTGTAGTTCCGCCCATCGCCCCTTTCCCGCCCTAACTGTGATAAAAACCCTGCGCCTCCATTGCTCGGGGCTCTCAGCACGGATCCACTGCCCTGGTGAGGTCTGAGAGTCTGCGCTTAAGTCCGAATAAACGCCCTTTGCTTCTGCATACGTGACTCGGACTCCTTGGTGGTCTTAGGGTTTTGGGGAGACCGCGATCTGGGCATAGCATTTGGGGGCTCGTCCGGGATTTCCCCCCCAAACCCCCAAGGACACCCCGACACGTAGGGCCTACCGCCGGCTGTTAAGTGTATTTGTCTCTTTGTCTAACTCTTCTTGTCTGTCTGATCTGTTTGAGGTCGGTCTCTGGGGCCCTACGCTGGTCTGGTGGACGCGCTAGAGACCCTGGGCCGTGACATCTCAGAGACGTCTCAGACCCACATGGAACAGATAGGGGTTCAAGACCCAAACCTCACGGCTTTCGGGAGACATTGCAGGTTGGACCCGCAACACGGCGCAGAGCCAGCGTCTCACTTTCAGTCTTGCCTCTGCTGGCCAGGGGGATTGCTCTCTGTTTTCTGTGTTCTAATTCTGTTCTCTGTGTTGTTTTATCTCGTTTGGAAGGACGCTATGGGACAGACTCAGAGTACTCCCTTAACTTTAGTACTGGACCATTTCAAGGACGTAAGGAAAAGAGCAGATGGACTGGGACTTAAAGTAAAAAAAGAAAAGTTCTTTACCTTTTGCAGAAACGAATGGCAGACCTTCAACGTTGGATGGTCAGTGGATGGGACCTTTGACCTTCCCACCATTTACCGGGTCAAAGACCTTGTTTCTGACAAGCCTGGGCATCCATACCAGGTCCCTTAGATCGTAACTTGGCAGGACCTGGTCGAAAACCCTCCACCTTGGCTCCGGCCCTTCATATCTCCCCGTGGCCCGCCCTCTAATGTACTAACAAAGGGCCACCGGGAAAGCCCCCCACCTAAGTCAACCCCACTTTACCCTGTCCTCCAAGGGGCCACAGAAGAAAGCCTTATATTTCCCCCACCCTATAACCCTACTTCAGGGCCCCAGAGCAGTCCCAGGGCCCAACCTGAGCCTAGGGAGGAACCTCGACCCTCCCGGAAAACCTCCCCAGAACCCTCCCCCCGAGGTAGTCCCCCGCATACTAGGAGAAGGGCCCACCAGGAGCTGTCTCGGCAATTGGCTGATTCTACGGTCCTTCCCCTGAGGGCCACTGGTCCTCCGGATGAGCAGGGAAATCAACCCCATCTATATTGGCCATTTGCCACTAGCAATTTGTCTAACTGGAAGCTACAAACCCCTAAATTCTCTGAAAAACCAGAAGACCTTATAGACCTACTGGATTCTGTGATTTTCACTCGTTTGCCCACCTGGGATGACTGTCAACAGCTTTTACAGATTCTCTTCACCACAGAGGAGCGAGAAAGAATTTTAACTGCAGCCCGAAAATTAGTTCCGGGTATAGATGGAAATCCTACAACGAATCAGGCCCTAATAGATGTGAGGTTTCCATTGACTAGACCCGACTGGGACTTCAACAAGGCTGAAGGCAAGGAGAGCCTACGCCTTTACCGCCAGACTCTAATGGGGGGTCTCCATGCAGCCGCTAGGCGGCCCACTAATTTGGCTAAGGTTAGTAACGTACAACAGGGAAAGGAGGAATCTCCTGCTGCCTTCCTAGAAAGGGTCATGGAGGCGTATCGCACATATATGCCCATGGACCCAGAAAAACTGGAAAATAAATCTGCGGTCATACTTACTTTTGTAAACCAGGCGGCACCAGATATCAGAAAATAGATAGCCCCGTTGCCCGGGGCAACCAGTGGGCTGACAAGTTGCTAGAGAGGCTGCCCTAGGTCCCATTTTCATCACGGCCTTGAACTACCCAGACGCGGGGTCACCTACACTTCCCTAAATACTCCGAGGAAGAGTTAGCCCGTATCCAGAGTCTCCCCATGGTCCAATGCAATGAGGGATGGTCGCGTCCTAATGACAATAAAATTATCCTACCTGAACTTTGAGGAACACGGATATTACAGCAAATGCACCGAGCAACCCACATGGGAGCCCAAAAACTAAAGGACTTGGTCCGACATGCCGGACTAAAAATTCACCAGTTAGACTCCAAAACTGATAAGATTGTCACAACCTGCAAGGCCTGCCAACTGACCAATGCCCGAGTCGGGCCTACAGAAAAAGGAACTAGGTGCAGGGAAACTAAACCAGGAGCTTACTGGGAAGTAGATTTTACAGAGATCAAGCCAGGAAAATTTAATTATAAATATCTATTAGTTTTTATAGACACCTTTTCAGGTTGGGTAGAAGCATTCCCGATTAAACATGAGACCGTGGCCACGGTAACAAAGAAGTTGCTGGAAGACCTCATACCCAGGTATGGCTTCCCGGCAGTACTGGGATCAGATAATGGACCTGCTTTCGTCTCACAGGTAACACAAAATGTAGCAAAAATAATCGGGGCAGACTGGAAACTACATTGTGCTTACAGGCCCCAAAGTTCAGGTCAAGTAGAAAGAATGAATAGAACCTTAAAAGAGACCCTTAGCAAATTAACCATGGAGACTGGCGGAGATTGGGTGGCTCTCCTTCCCTATGCTCTTTACAGGGTAAGAAATTCCCCATATACCCTAGGGTTCACACCTTATGAAATTATGTATGGGAGACCACCTCCCATTATTCCTAACCTTAAATCAGAATTATTAGCTGAATTTGATGATTACGACCTAATGTACTTTTTAGAAAGGCTCCAGCGTCCTCATCAGGATGTCTGGCCCCGTCTGAAGGCCATCTACGAGGCTAGCCCTACTCCAGATCCTCATAAGGTCCGTCCCGGCGACTGGGTGTACGTAAAAAGGCATCGACAGGAAACTTTAGAGCCGAGGTGGAAAGGACCCTACACTGTCATCTTGGCCATCCCCACCGCTCTAAAAGTCGACGGTGTTCCCGCCTGGATTCACCACACTCACGTCCGCCTGGCTGACCCCCTCACGGTTCGAGAAAATTTCATCCCACAATGGAGAGCGGACCGAGACGGCAACGACCCCCTCAAGTTAAAACTGCGACGCTCTTGATCCTACTTTTTACAGTATGTAGTATTTCCTCTGATCCCCTAAACCCCCACCAGCCTACCACTGCCAAATGGGTTTTGCGAGGGCCCCTAGTGACACCTAGGGACCTAGAACGGACTGTTCAAGAAGTAACATTAACTGGGCCAGCGTCTATTACATTCCCCACCTTCCACTTAGATCTCTGTAGTCTAGCAGGAGATCACTGCAACGCAAATCCAAGGATTTGTAATGGGCAATGTGTAGACTGTAACACTTTTGGGTGCTGACCTCGTGCTGACTGTCAGCACCAAAATCTAAGACGACAGACCTTTTGTGTGCGGCCCGGAACTGGTAACTTTGACACCTGCGGAGGCACAGAGCAATACTTTTGTGCTTCCTGGGGATGTGAAACTATCGCTCCATGGGTCAAACAATCCAATAACGACCTAATCACCCTTGTTCGGACCAATAATGAAACTAGTCCAACCAATAGAAACCCAATCTCTATTCAACTCACTCCTAAGGGCAAAACAAAAAACTGGTTGGTGGCAAAGGTATGGGGCATTCGAATCTGGCTCCCCGGTAACGACATAGGCTTCCTATTCTCCATTCAAAAGCAACTTGTAACAGTCAACCAGTCACATAGGCCTGAACTTAATCCTAGCCCCCCAGGCCCACACCTAAGCCAAATACCGTCACCGACTCCTTAGTCCCCACTCATTGGAACCCAAACCCTAGCGGTGACTGAACATTTGGATCCTTTATGGACATTAATGACCCACACCTACCAAATACTAAATGAGTCGAGACCTAATTTAACAATGTCCTGTTGGTTATGCTTTAACCCCAAGCCCCCCTACTATGAGGGAATAGCCTTTCTAGGTAATTACAGTGTTACTAACCGAGTACAAGAATGCTGCTGGCAGCAGACTGGGCAAATACTACTCACCCTACAGTCGGTGACAGGACAAGACCTATGTCTGGGCCATGTACCCGCTACACATCAGCATCTATGCGATAGAACAGATCGAATCAGCTCCCCTGGGTACCTAATTCCACCTAAACAAGGCTGGTGGGCCTGTACTACGGGACTAACTCCCTGCGTCCACGGGACCATATTATATAATACGAAGAGTTTTTGTGTTTTAGTACAATTAGTTCCCAGGATTCTGT